GACACTATTTCATAGAATGGTGACAAACAAACAATCAGCACCAACAGAACCACGACAAGCGCCAGCAGGTAGAGCAGTAGCAGACGACCAGCAAACGATGCGCATAGAAGATGTTGAACTATCACCTCGAGCAGTAGATGACAATTTTTACGCGACACCAGTTCAACAAGCAACAGGAGCATCAAGTTCAACAGCCCAACAACCACCACCATTGCCAATGACGCCATTGTTTAAAACAACAATAGATAATACTATTAGTCCCGCTTACTGGAAAGACAACCCTAATTTAACAGTAAATGATATTAAATTTCAGTTTTATTTAAGAGGAATTCAAGTGCCAGAAGAAAGCGAAATACAAGAAGAATTGAAACAAAAGGGAAGAGGCAAGGCGAGAACATACAAAGAATATTTAGTGGATATGATTTTAGACACTATTGATAATGGCGGATGGATAGCAAATTTAAGCAAAGGTAGAATAGAAGAACTCAAGGCAAGTTTTAAGGGTAAAGGTAAGAAATAAAAATATAAATAATAATAATAATGATAATATTAACTAAAAATATACTGAAAAGAAAGAAGCAGAAGTTCAATGATAATTATGATCACGACGACAGTTTTTCAATACATAACCTAACAAAACCAAACACACCAACAACAATACAACCACCGAAAATGATGAAAAAAGGCATACCGAGAGAATTTATTGACATTGCAACCAATACAGATACAATTGCAACAGAAACCAGAGAGACTGACGAAAAGTTATACAATGATGCAAATCAGCAATTAAATATGACATTTGAAGCGTTTAAGGTAAAGGAAAACCAAGACAATATGTTTAAAATAATGCTTAAAAACTTTTGGCACAACACATATAAAAGAAATGAGCCAACAAGAACACAGGTAACACACACATTGAAAAACCAACGCGATGCAATGGTGTCAGCCTTTACTACAATGCTTGACAACAACAAACCGCCAGAACCACCGCCAAAGAAACCACCAGACGAGGAGGACAGCGATGAAGAAGAAAAAAGATTCAAACTGACAAAAATGATAGAAATAATGCTACACAACGGCGCTACAGTAGCAGATATAATATTAAACTTATCACATAGCGCAATTGCAACAACAATAAATATCGCAGATTTAGTCAATCAAATAACAGCAGGAAATGCACAAGGTAGCAGTAGTTCTTCTAATGAAATTGTTAGTGTTCATAGTTCTCCACCTATTACTGTTCATAGTTCTTCATCTGAAAGTCCAACAGAAATACCAGCACCAACCGAAGACGAAGAAGAAGACGAAGAAGAAAAACAAAAAGATAATTTTGAAAAATTAAAATCTAAATAATATTATATATAATGGGTATTGGTCAAAGTAAAGACGATGAAAATAACAGTATGGAAGACATTAAGAATTTAAGAGTAGATGAAAAGACAAGAGCAGATACTTTAATAATAAAATCTATTCAAGAATGTGTGGCACGAATTGAGAAATTAGAAAAAGAAAAATCTGACAAATTAATATATAAACTTCCTGCTTTACAATTTTGCAATGCTTCGTTAATTTAAATTGATAATATTAACATACATTAATATTATTAATTACTATCATAATCTGTCATTTCACTTTCGGGTAATTTTGTTGAGGCGTTGCTACACATATCATCTATTAAATCTTCTTCATCAACAAAATTATTTTGAAATCTTAATAATTCCTCGTCTGTTGGTCGTCTTTTCAATGCCTTATAAAGTTTATGTATCCAAGAATTAGTATGAAAATTATAATTACCTCTACGATAAAATCCACCACATCTACATAGTTTCATTAGCATATTATTATATTATATTAAATTAGAATATCTTTATTCATCATTTGTAATTTGAAATGCCTGTTCAAAATTGATATGAAACATGTTGTTAATGTCTTTTGAATTCATATTCACGTAGAAAAAAGAATATGGAGCAAAATTAACGGCTTGATGATACATATCTAATAATTGCTGTTTGTCAACAATGGCGCTATTTTCTTCAATAAAACTCATTAATTCACTGGCATTTTTCAACCTAAAAATATATAATGAACTGGCATTTAAACGAATGATAGGCGCCAACACATTATATTTCTGTGTTGAACAAATTACGCTTACTGCATCGTGCCTACCTCTTGTAAATAATCCATGTAATAATTTACTATATCTAACAAATTTAGGATCGTCGGCATGATCGTCTATAACGATTAATATTGAATGTAGTTTCTTTATCTTTTTAGATTTCATATAATTAATTATTTTCTTCTGTCTTTCAATTACATTTTCTAAATCACTTGGATTATAATTATCAAAATAAATTTGTTCTTTTTCATCATCCACGTGCAATTCATCCCTGATATATTTTTTAACTTCTGTAAAGGTTGGGTCATTATGAACGCTGGGGGAAAATATAAATATTCTTGCAAATGAATTTCTATAAACATTTAAGATAAGGTTCTGAACCAAGACTGTTTTGCCACCTGTCGAACTCGCAACTATAATACTTCTAAATGGTAATTTTGGCACGTGCTCATATTTAGATTGTTTGAATTCATATTCAGTTATGTTTATTGGCTTTATTATTGGAACATCTGACATAATAAAATAATATTAAAGTTATTTAGAAAATATTTTATATTGATTATTTTATATGAATAGAAGCTATTCAGATTATATCAATATAATAGATGAAGTAGAGAATATAGAACAAGTTGTTATAACTGATAATAGATGTAAAAAAATATGTTATTTTATTTTAGAATTAATTAAGTTTGTGATACAATATATCAAAAATAAAAATGTAAATATTAATATAAATGGGAAGAAAGAAAAAGAATAAGACTGAACCAGTTGTTTCTTCAACTGATGAAGAAAAAGAAGAAATTGTTAAAGAAACATCAGTTATTGAGTTTGCTTGTCCAATGTGTAAAAGAATATTAGAAATGAAAAATGAATTAGAAATACAAAAGAAAGGAAACTGTAAATGTTCGTGTATTCCGACAAGTTTCAAACTAAGTAAGAATGATAAAAAAATGAATATTGATAAAACTAAAGACAGTATCAACTTAGAAACAGATGTTCATAATATTGCTATACGCTTTGGGAGGGGGGTTACTCCATCCGATAATGGTGATAAGGAAACTCAGGAAACTATTAAACAAATGATGAAAAATTAGTATTTAAAGAGTAGATTTAACATAATTTAAACATTTAGTTTTAAAAGTTTTATTTTATAATATAATATATATATTTACATGGATGAAGGATTAGAAAAGATGGTTAAAAAACTGAACAAGGTTTTAGAACAGAATAAGAATATTTTAGAAATCTTGCAAGAAATGGAAAAGAAGAAACCGTTAACAAACAGTTATCAAAGTAAAGAAGTAGATCGAACCAATGGTGAATATAAAAATAAAAGAAATATTTATTTAAACAAACTTAATAACAAAGAAATTAAAGAACCGAAGTCTTCCACTATGACATTTTATCAAATCGACTATGATGAAGATACAGGGGTTTATTCTTGATTGAAAACATTTTTCTCTGAAAATCCGTTTAAAGACATATTGGCATAACTAATATTATGAGTTCTACAGATGATGAAGAAGAAACAGGATGCACAATGGTTTATCCTTGCAGTAAATGCGACGAAGCAAAGCCAAGAAAGGACTTTCGCAAAATGTATGACAGAATTAAAATGGAAGAGATATTTTACAAAACATGTAAGGAATGCAGAGACAAAGTAAAAGCAACAAAAGAGTTAAGGAAGGAACAGAAGAAACGAATACAACCCCTGGAAATACATAGATTAAAGCCTTTGATACCATAGTTTTGCTATACTTATAACATATAAAATCTTATATGTTGTAATTTTAGTTTAATTTTCCCGTATAAGCCGTGGGGGTGCTTTCCTACATGGGCCTTTCCCATCCGCATTTTGCCATCCATATTTTACTGGGATTGTTTTCAAGATTTGGGTTAACGGTTTTAATTCTCCCTTTTCCATTGGTTAACCATTTTTCGGGGAGTGATAATTTGTGTAGTATGGCGCCGGGAGAGCTTAGAAAATACGCAGTTAGAAGACACTTAAAGACATGATGGTAAATAGTAGTATGGAAAACTTACAGAGATGCAGTAGGTGCAGAAAACAGAAAGAACTAGGAGAGTTCAAGGATGGGAGAAAAGTATGTAACTATTGCCTTTCTACTGCTAAGACTTATCAACAAAATAATCCCGAGAAAATGGCGGAGAAATGTCATAAGTATTATGTCAATCATAGGGACGATATTTTAGAACAGAAGAGAGAAAAACGATATTGTGATCTTTGCAAAGTAGAAGTAGCTAAATCAGAATGGACGAAGCATTTAATCACTAGTCGGCACAAACGATATCAAATGATAGAAGCCGGGGAGAAGTTGGAAGCCGATCGTGGCGATTCGTGGTGGTGCGATGTGTGCCAAGTATTTTTAGCAAAGAAAACATCAAAGTGTAGTCATAATGGATCTAAAAGGCATTGTGAATTAGCAAAGCCACAAGGAGTTGAGGAGTAAATGGGTTGATACATTTGTTTTGCGATGATTGTATCAATGCATTTGGGATATTTATTAATTTAATGGGTGGGATTTTGCGCAGTGTGGCGGGTGGAGTGGGGACAAAATGCGCAGTATGACGGCGGGAGAAGTCACCACTAACTATTTTGACCCCCCTTTTGGTTTCCCCTTAACCAACCCAAGGGCGAATCCCAGAAAGAGAGTTTTCTGGGTGTGCACGTTTTGCCCCTTTTTGGTGTCGTTTCAATAGGAAACCAAGAGTGAACATAGAACATCCTATTTTTGCGCAAAAAAGCTGGGGAACAGCTCTTCACAATTTTCTTTTCCAGCAATCCCTTGCTCCAACACCTGCTGCTGCAACCCACTTCATTACTTGCATCCAACCACCACCGTGGGAAAGCCCTGCGCCGAGGCTCAGGACCAGCACCTCGCGCCCAGCATCGGCGGCCGCCAGCTCCAGGAAGCGCAGGCAGCTCTGGCGGACGCAGGTTTCGGCCCGGGTGACCTCCTCTGGCGTCAGGGGCCGGGTGATCTGCAGCTCCTGGGGGTCAAAGGCTCCAACTCACTGGGGTTTTTTCAGTGGAACCCTCACCAAAAGGTTGGTAGGGCACTGGAAAACCTAGGAAATCCAAAAGCTGAGGAAGTTTCTGGGAGCTGAGTGTAAAGGGGACAGGCTGGATTCCAAATTAAAAGTTGAGCTCTTTTCCGGTGTGACGTGCGAGAGATGCCATGCGTTGGATGAGCCCAATAGACACCCTCCAACTGGTGCCCTTACAAAGTGTTACAAAGCGTTGCCGAGCAACAGTGCATGGTTGATGCCTTCTTCCTTGATTTGAGCCCGCCCTAACCCCTCCCCCTTAGCACCCTATCACTTTCACGGAATCCCAAAACGGTTCACGGGCAGCTCCTGAAATTTCACAAGTTGAGCAATCTTCTGATTTTCTATGGAACCAGCCAAGTTTTGTCTTTTTTTCTCGACCCCCCCCCAAACGCGACTCCCTACGTATCCAACCAGCACAAAATGAGCCATCTCAACAGCTGTTGGTGGACATGAGTCATGTTGTCCACCAAAAGGTTCAACCGAGTTGGTTTTAAAAGGAACCAAAAGGACCACCGAAGCCATCTTGGGGGTTCCCAACGGTTTTGGAGACCCCCAAGAATCTGATTCAGAAAACGGTTTGCTCCATGCTTTCTGGAACCTCCAAACGTGGCTCCAAGGAAAACCACAAATAGCTCAACTTTGGACTGGGAATTCAGCCAAGTCTGGGGTTCGGGAATGAACCGGTTGGGATAAGGAAACAAGGGATGGTTTACAGGGTCACTCCCTGCTTTTGACAAATCTCGTGTGGCAGAGTCATCAAAAGCCATCGGCATTAAAATGGGTGTGGGTCAAAAACGGGTCCGCAAAATGGAACCCTGCTGAATGGAACCATGCACGGAAACCTGCAGTTTTTTGGTGGTTTAACTTGGATCCATACCAACATGGTCTGAAACGAGCGGATGTCTCCACCTAGTGGCACAAGTGGTCCAACTGGATGGGTCTCTTGAGTTGTCCCCGACGAACGACCCTCCCCCAAAACCAACATCCCCGGAACTGAGCCTCAGGGCTCTGCCCCGTTGCTGAAATACTGCCCTTTCAAGGGGTCCCTTTGCCAGCTGGCGCAACTTGAAGTGACAACTTGCTGTTGTTGGGCCTTCTTGTTGGTTCAAGGGCCACATGTTCTGCGAAGAGGGACGAATAAAACAAACGCCTGTTTTAAAATAGGGGATCGCACAAATGGTGGGTTTCCTCCTTGGCTTCCCTTTCAACCCCAAAAAGGGTGGCCTCAAAATCAAAACAAATCCGCCTTGTCTTCTAAGACGGTCTCGAATTCAGAGGTCCAACGGGACAAGAGGGACCCACATCCCCACCGCCACCCGAGGCTCTCCAAAACCGCCTCCCTTTGCCCCGCACAGTCCACCACTGCATCTGCAATCAGCGGGTTTTAACATTCAGACTCAGCTGGCTGTGGGTCAACACCAATGGTACCATGTTGGGGTAGGTGCACCACCCATTTTGGTCTATTGTAGTGGGGATTGGGATGTTCACTGAGAGTACGGGATTTTGACCCGTGGCCAGCTCACCATTTGCATTTGGGAGGGTACCAACTCGGCTTTCCTGTTGATACCCGGCAGATTTGAGAAAACCCCCCACTATACTTAAACCAGGGGGTAACACCCTCCGCGATGGCGTGGCTAAAATTTGGGCCCTGCTCATTTTGGTTTTAATCCCTCCCCGTCCGAGCTACCCTTATTTTTAACGCGTGTTTCCCTCTTGCGCCATACAGTGAATGGGCACGTGTTTTGTTGAGGATATCCATTTTTGAGCTTTTTAAAGGACATAACAGGGAAAACTACATGTCCGGTCAGTCCCCTATTTTACATTTTGACCCGCACGGCTCATTTTGCCCCCAGTGCCAGTTGAGCAATGCGCATGTGGCCAAGCCCGTGGCATGGCACTAGACACAATCCCTGCCTCCAAGCGATGTTTCAGCCGCCGCTGCAGCTCTGGACACTTGCACTTCTCCGCCTCGGGCCCGGCGCGTCTTTGTTTGGAGTTGGTACCCCTCTTTTGCGGTTTTAAGGGGAAACCATCAGGGAAACCACATGTGGGGGCGTCCCTAAAAAACGACACACCAATATGGGTGTCGTTCGAAATAGGGGGCCGGGAAAATTGCCAGAGGCTTTGTTTCGTTGCAACAAACCAACCAGACAAGGGAACATAGTGACTCAAACGACGAGCCACCATGGGCGATTTGAAAGGCAACCAATCTTCTCGAGGTGCTTGAACAACCGGACATGGAGGCTATCCCGCAAAACACAAATACGGCCCCCATTTGAGGTGCCGTAGTTTTTTGTTTATGGTCTGCTTCTGCAACCTTGACGCTTTTTTTGAAGGCTGGCTGAACGTGTCGTCTCCCTCTTCACTTCTATCATGCTTGAGCGGAGATACCCCCAGGCAGAGGTTGTATGTCACTTCCAAGCTATAGCTGTGCCTCAGATTGAAATAGGAGAAGCATGACAAAGCCGCTATCCCGTGTTGTTCCTTCTTCCGAACGGAAATCTCTTCTGGCGGGCCGAGCTTATCGAGGGCAGCATGGGCACGGTCCAGGTATTTGAAGCGATCGATTGCTGGGAGATGATCTGATTTGTTTTGCTTCTCCTCTGATGGTCAACCTTCAAAGCAAGCTTTTTGCACGCCTCGGCTATTCAGTTAAAATGACTGTTTCGAAGGAGAATCGGTCCAGCATAAACTGTCAGGGTTTCGGCTCACGACCCACGACAGGTTCCAATTCTGCAGAATCAGTTCGACCCCCTCCAACTCAGACTGGAAGATCGTTTTCAGGCAACAAAAAGTAAAAAGTGGAGAGTTAAGGCATCTTTTCTGGCAACAACAAAACGAGAGTTGCGTGAAACTCAAGCAAAACCAAACCCAACAAATCGTGGAAATCGTCCATCGAAAAGAGACACCTTTCGGCCTGCGAGCTTGGCTCCAGCCAAAATCAACCTCGGGGCCCCGCTGAAAAAGCGGGGACGTGCTTAGGCTGGCTTATTCACAACCAACCAAAGGGTGTATGGGTGTATGTATACATATATATATATATACAAAGTCAGAGAAGGCAGGTTGGGCTCGAACGACCTGGGCCCCCTTGTCCAATTCACCGCACCCCTGTTTGGGCTCGACGTGTTCGCTACCTGCCCACCAAGCAAGCGACGGCACAAATCCCCCGGTTCTGGCGGTCAAATCCTAGCTCCGCGCCTCCTCGAGTAGCTCCGAACACTCCTACGGTCCATGGGCAGGCAGGTGGTGGGGAGCCGATCTGGTGTTTTCCAGGAATGGAGGGTAGACCAAACGCCCCACCAGGGAGGAATTTAATCTGGTGCTTTGTGAAGGATTGTTTGAAGATCTGAACACGGGCAGACTCAAACGCCATGCTTGAAAGAAATACTAATTAGTCAAGCACCCCTGGGTTTTGAAAGGACGGGTAGACTCAAACCCATGCGGGAATACCAGTCAAGCACTGGCTTTTTGTCGGGGAAATCAAATGGAGAACCAAGCAACATGCCACAAAGTCCTAATTGGTGGCTTGGATTCGTGGCTTGAATTTCGATTTGACTCCCTGGTTCATGGGAAACTCCGAACTGCCAACCCACCGAGGCAGGCCACGTGGGAAGCTGAAATGAGGGCCAAGGCCCCGAGGAAAACAATCCTAGGTCATCCAGTACGGAGGTTCGACTAAGAGTACCCGTTGTTTGTCTTCTTTTTTCTGGTTTGTCTATTTTAGCAGGGGAACCCTCCCCCAGAAAAGGGTAAAAGGGTACTACTGGGGGACCTAGAATCTGACCATGGGGGTGTTCTGCAACTCGGACACGCATCAAAGCGCCATTAGATGGCAGTCCTAGATATGCAGGCTAGGTACCCCAGAATCTAATCGTTGGAACACTGGACCCTTGCGCAACATCCCACGCATGGCTTGCCTAGCCATTGAGTTGAGCCTATCCTTAAACAAACAGTGGTGGCAAGTACTTTGGCTCGAACATTGTTTGTTCAGACAGTCTTCTTAACATCCATGTCAAATACACCATTTGCTCAGTCCCAAGTAAGGGTACCCTCCAAAAATTGCCCTCCAAACTTCGCAAGTCTCAAATTTCGGCTTTGCCCCCTCCCAAGAAACCAGCAACCCACCGAGCCTCCCACCCAAAAAACCGCCACCACACCCCAAAAACCGCCACGGCCCAACCGCCATCGGCTTCCACACGCCCCGCACGTCGCGCGCTCGGCGCGCCTCGAGGTCCTGGGACTGCGCGAGGTACTTCGCGGCCTTGGCCTCGAGCTCCGCGCGGCGGTGCCGCAGCACGTGGTCCTCCAGCAGCTTCTCGGCCTCCTGGCGCATTCGGTTTTGAGGTTTTGGGGGGCCGGGGGGAGGACCGGGGGGGGGGGGGGACGGGGTGGGAAGGCTGGCTGGCTCGGGGTTTTGGGCTGGCGTGGTGTTTTACGCCCCAAGTTCAACGAATTGCAAGGGGGTTGGTTGATAGAGGGGCCTATATCCCCTTTTGGCTTTTGGTGGATATTAAGGAGGTGTCTGGGTTATGAGGACATAGACTAAGTTCGGGGTGCTTTGAAGGGAAACCAAAAGAACTTCTGGTTGGGTTTCTCCTGAAACAACATCTGGTTGGGAGCTTTCTTTCCGAAATTGGGTTGGGGGGAGGGTGGGGAAGGGGAATGGTTGGATGTTGATTCTCACTTTGAGGGCGACTTAAAGAGAAGCCCCAGTGGGTGGAACTGCCCGGATTTTCCCGAGAGGCAGCCGCAGATTTTTAGGACGCGGGGGTTTTCAGCCCGACGGGAAAGCCCATGTTGCCTTCCCTTCAGCCAACCAAACACCCCAAATCCCGAGAAACCAACGAAGAAGAAGAAAAACACCCCCCAAAAAACAAGAAACAAAAACAAACAAGCAAAAACCAGGGGTGATTGTCCTCTTGGCTTCCCTTAAACCAACCAACAAGCACCCCAAGTCCCAGAACATAATAACAATCCACATGCCGAACAACACCGCAAAAAAAAAACAAAAAAACAACACACACACACACACACACACATATATACCCAAACCCATCCACTTTGTGGAGCTTCCGAGTTCCTGGATGACGCCCTTGGGCACCTGGCGCTTCTTCGCTGCGTTGATGGCCTCCCGCATGGCCAAGGTCCGCCCCCGCCGCAGGCTGCGCCCCGTCTCCGCCAGGACCTCCAACGGCGGTTGAGCGGCGAGCGGCGAGGCGACGAGGCGAGTGGTGGGACGCGGTTTGTCTCAAGAGAAGGGGAAGTGGGCGGTTTCCTTGAACCAACTCCAAAAAAAGGGGGCCCTCAAAAGGGGCCTTTAGGCATAGGTGTCCTTTTGGGGGAAATGATGGGGGTTCCTGGTAGATATGAGGGCACCTGGTGAACCTCAAATTGGTCGGTTTCCTTCTCATCCCCCTTGAAACCAACTCCAAACAGGGCGCCGGCCTTCGGGAGAAATGGTGCCTATTCCATCCACCATCTATTATTGCCCGATGGACATGGGGTTTATGCCTTATTTTGAGGGGACCCGTTTACAGGTTGGTAAAAAAGGAACCCAACAGGAAAAACACGCAATTTGGGGTGGTGGTGGTGGCTAGAAATAAAGGGAACCCGCAAGAGCCACCATGAAGGCATCTAACAACCCGTTCGCTCTGTCCACCCAACTCGATCTTTGGGCCAAAGCACAAGAAACCTGGAGGTCCAAAGCAGGTGTGTGGCGGGGGAAAAGCACAGGAAAAGCACCGGGCAGTGTTGGTGTGTGGCTTCCACAACGTGGCTAAAATTGAAGGGTCTTCTCAAAATCGAGGGGGTGGGGGAAAATTATTTCGCCAAGCAATCTCTCTTTGAACATGGTGCCCAACAGGTCTGGCGCCATGATTTTTGGTCGGCGCAGGGGTGGAAGGAAAACCCGAAGTGGGTAAAGCGGGCTGAAGGAACCCCCCCTCAAAAAAAAGAAAGAACGAAGAACCGCCAAGTAGATACATGCCAGGTCCATGCCACAGGGCTCCCTACATGTCCCCTTAGAACATCACCCGCACCAAGGGACACTCATCTTTCATGGGCCATAAAGGCGATGCTTAAAACCACAAAAAAGGGAAATATAAGGCCGCCTGTGCCAACTGCCGAGTTTTATGGTCGCCTGGATCGATGGTGCGCAAAGAAGAGGACTCCCTCCGATTACTCATTGCTCTAATGTCTCAGCTTCGTCAAATCTGGAGCATTTTGAGCGATGGCACAGCTCTTTTGGCAAGTGATGTCAACTTCGGCATTGATCCGGGAACTGTACTCAGGGGTGGCTCCCTCTTAGCAAGGGAATCATCTTATTGTGGGGGGTCCCTCTGTTTGGTAGGGCAAATCGGCGAATCGCGCCATGTGGGTATGTCTCAAGAAAGAGGGCCCTAAAAATTGCCGATCTTCCCGTGGTTTCTCTTTCAGCCGCACCCCCCGAAGTGGGGCCAGCCTCCTGGATTTGCTGGCGCAACTCCTCTTCGGTCTCCTCCACCTCCGATTCCAAGGCGATCTCCTGGACGCGTTCACTCTGGACCCGGCCTCGACCAAATCCGGTTTTAAAGGTGGAGCTGTCCTTCTCTGCACAAACCAAGCAAGTCGCGCCCTTTCACGCCCCAACCAAAAACATTCATCCCTTTTGCCCGTTGCAGAAAGCTCGCGGCGATGTTGTTCGTTTTGCAGCTCGTCCTATCATAAGCTTTGCCAGTTGCAGCTCTTTCTTGCGTTTTGCGGGTCCTTGCTATCCTCAGATTTGCACTCCACCTGGCCATGGGTCAAAATCCAAATCGTACCCCCACTGCACATCCCAATTCCCACTAAAATCCCGACCACAATGGGTGGTGAATTTGCCTACCCCAAACTAAATTCCCACTAAAATATATATATATATATATATTTTGTTTTAATGGGTGGTGAATTCACAAATCCCACCCAAAAGCGGGATCCCAAAATTTCGACCATCACTAAATAGGTTCAAAAATGGGTGGTCCGCCCAACCAAAATGGGATCCCACAACGGTTCTACATAAAAATAAATCCCGACTAAAATGGTGAATTCACCTACCCCAACATAAAATCCCGTTTAACGGTTTTGACCACCACCGCCGCCTCATCCTCCAAATCTTCCGGGCGGATACCGCCCGGCCCGGGCTGCGCTTTTCTCAGCTCGGAGCACTTCGCGCAGCAGCCGCCCATCAGCGCGGCGCCGATGGCCCGCCATGCGACGCATGCGACGCGACGCGGACGAGGAAATGGGGCGAAACACGTGGAGTCACAATCAAAACCTGGTATTAACATGGCCGTAATCCCAGAACCATGTGAAGAATTAAGAAGGCCGCAGCTATTTCTGGCTGGGATCGTTCCTTACCAACCTTCATCTACCCGGGCTTTGATTGTGGCTCACGCGAGTCAGCGACCCCCTCGTGGTTTGGAGCCCGGCTTTTTTTGGCTTGGGGCAGCTTCCCAAGCCTAAGGGGTGCAAGTCAAAATCCAAATCCAAACCAACTAAAAGTCACCTGAACAAAAAAGGCTTGGGCCAAACGGATATCGCTGAAGCAAGCACAGCAGCGTCATGCCTCGCGGTGAGTGGGTCCGCCGACAAAACAAAGCGGCATGAGGGGTGGAGAAAACGTAAATGCTGGATGCTATCTAGAGCTATTCTTGCCCTTTTCGATGGCTCTCACTAATAGTTCCCCGAGCGACGCATACAGCTATACTTTGGCAAGGTGATGCCGTGCAACTTCAGTGGAGCCCCAAACACACATGCACTTTATGCTTTCCATGTGAAGTCATGGTGGTGTATCTGGCAATGTGCCCATCTGGCATGGTTCCCCCAATAACCTACCTTCCCTGAACCCCTGAACCCGGTGCCTGATCCACGTGTTCAGCTCAGATCTGGACCTCACCTGACAACTCCGGATGGCCCGTTTTTGGGCTTTGACGAAGAACATGGGTAGCCAAAGGAACACCACCCAGAACAAACACATTTATGGTGTGCCTGAACAGACGCGGTTCTTCGGGCCAAGTCGAAACTTTTTCCACCAACATGGCACCAACAAGCCTCAAGTCTTCAAACTGGAGAAGTCGTGACCTAGATGGGAAAAGTGATCTCCTGGGAAAAGGTCTCAGGTCTCTTTTGACACCTCAAACAATTTCCTTTGTCGCGAGCTAGAGACAGGAAAACAAAACCCGTTGGTGGCCAAGAGTGGCTCGTTGGCGGCCTTGGCAGGCCATGCGATCCAAAAGGAGATCTGACGCTTCGATTCGACCAGGCGATGCTTCAATCATTCATTCAATGAAAATCTGGTAATCAGGTCTCAAAAAGGCGAGCCGCCATTGCCGAAAACAGGGGAGGAGCTTTCAGCAACAACCCCTCGTTGGTCATGGTTTGCTTAAAAAGGGACCCCCCTTTTATTTTCATTTATATATATATATATATGTTTTTTCTAAAAAAAACAACGATCACCCATGCCAGCTATTGTGAGTGCAAATCAGCTTCCACTGCATGGGTGTGTATGGTTGTCGCAGTCACTTCCTGCTTTACCAGCTGCACGCAATCAGCTTAAGCTGCTTTCTGTGAGTCCCAGAGTAAATAGAGCATTTCCAAGTCTGGAACCTGCACATCTTGCGTGTCTTCCCCAGTTGTTGCATTCAATTGCGTGTTGTCAAAATACATATTGATTGTGTCTCGTCTTATCCTTCCTAGGTAAATCTAAATGAACCTAATTACTCTCAACACATGTGCAACCTAGCCGTACCCACAAGCAGTCTTGCATTGGCGTACGGACAAGGTCTCGCCACTCTAGCCGAGCCTCTGTCCCCAAAGAATCCTTGTGCTGAGCGAACCACTGCAGAATAACTTCAAGCTTTAACTTATAAGGATGGCAGTTGTGCACCTCACCAGTCCGTGCCGCTGGAAAGCACTGAGAACTCTCTTCGTGGGCTGTTACAGCTTGGTTCCAAATCTCACGGTCGGATCTCCCCATGATTTCACGACCACGTCGCATGTTTGACAGTTCTGGGATTTTGGACGGGTGCGGGAAGCGATTCGCGCCATTTTGGCCGGTGCAGTCGAGCTGCACTTGTCTGATTTTTTCTGACGTCGATGTCTTGCAAAAAGCCAGGATAATCGAGGAATTTGTACAGCGTCGTGGGGCAGCAAATACGGAAGATTAGAGATGACTGACGGAAGAGGCATTGTGCCTTGACTTAATCTCGACGGCTATCAATACCGAAACGGCCGGGGCACTTGTTCGACATTGGAGGTCATTGCATTATTGCAATGGATTGTGCAAATGTCTGTTCACAATTTTATCCTACGCATGGAGATCGGGGGCCGTTGTTGGCAGCAGGTTTGTGTGAACTTAACCAATTGGCTGCCCTGGTCTCGTGGACTGTGTGCAAGTAAACCCTGTCCGTTGCTGATCAATCTCATCTCTTGGCAGGACATTGAAAGTGCTCAAACCACCAAAGCCCGGCCGCGGGCTTTTGCTCCGAAATATGATGCACTGGACAAGCTTGCTCCCATCGCAACTGACTTCCTGAGTGGCCAGAACTGCCGAAACACCTTGCTTACCACGAGAATGGTCTTCGCAACAAAAGTCCCGGAACTCAGGGAGTCAGCTAGCCTGGGTACGCCTTGATCAAGGGCTGGATCACTCCCACCACCAACACCGCATAGATGACGCCCAGCGAGATCAATGCAAAGAGCCCCTGCGTGAGCAGCGCGTTGCTGGCGAAAAAGCCGACCACGCTGGACAAGGGCACGATCGCGCCGATGTTCTGCTTCAAAGACTCTTGCGGGATGGTCAACACCCCGGGGTTGTTCCGGATGACCTGGTAGCGCCAAGCAAGTTCGTCAAATGCTCAGGCGGGCTTTGTACGCAGCGATGGCTTGAACACATGTTTCCTGCTGGCTTCCCTTCAAGCTGCCATTTACGTCGGTTCAGCCAAAAAGCAAGACTAAAGAATACGAAAGACCCGAAAGATTATTGGGTGAATGGGTCCCGGACCATGTGAGTCATATTCAAAACCCGGTATTAAAATGGTCTACCCAGAACCATGTAAGGAGATACGAATGCGGCCGCAGCTATTTATGGTTGGGATTGTCCCTTACTAACCTTCATCTACCCAGGTTTTGATTGTGGCTCATGTGAACATTTTGGTGATTTGTGTTTTCACCAACTCCGCGGGGTTCACGTTTCAGACCGAATGGCTCCTTTCGGTTTTCAAATTTTGGTCTAGGTCCTCCCAGTAGAGAGGTTAGAATACGTCTATTTCAGTAGGGGAACCCTCCTACTAAAAAAGCGTAAAAGGGCACTACTGGGGGACCTAGTGACCAAAATTCGGGGCCGCAGCCGGGACCCAAATTTTTCATTCGGAACCAGGGTGTGCTTTCTTGGTGGCCGGCGCCTCATGGGCCTGCTCCCTCCCGAGCTCCTGCGCCCAGCGAAGTTGGAAGACTCGGGAGCTGCTAAATGATTTTCTCACGTTCCTTTCGAAGGGGGCCCAGCTGAGTTCCTGGTTGGTGGACAGGAGGGTAACCTGTTGGAAACTTGAGAATATGGATCAAATCAGGCTTCTCAGAAGGGAAAAAGGCCGGCTTTGGGCAGGTGAACTGAGGCATTTGTGATTTTCAGGGAGAATCCAGACAAAAACAGGACTCGCCAACTTAGGGCCCCAGGGGACAACATGGACACCTTGATTTGAGGTGAGGGAAGACGCATCCAAAAGCCGCATTGGCTGAACCTGGCTCAATCAAATGGAAAATTAACCCCCCGCCACTACATAGGAATCCCCCCAAGTAGAGACAACCCCTTTAAAGGAGGTTCTTTAGACAAGTATATAGTAAACATATCCTTCTTTGGGCACTTCTTGAAACAACACTTCAGGAGGCCCCCCAGACCAAGCAAATTGGTTTGCTGCCCCCAACACCGTTGCCACGTCTTGCTTCAGGCTGGGAGAAAGGCGGCGCTCCTGGAACAGAAACTCTGCAGAGCTGGTGATCTGCTCGGGCAGGAAGACCATGACCGCCAAGTTGCGCTCCATCGCCTCCCCGTTTTCGTTTTCCCCCCCCCCCCCTTTTTGTTTTTCTCCGTGGCCATCGTGAGCCTCTCTTAGCTGTTGCCGGGAAACGAGGGCGCAGCTTTCCCAGCGCTCCCGCCCATCCCCTTTCACAGGGTAAAGCAGGCCCCTTCCCCACCAAAACCTCCAAACCTCCAAACCTCCCCCGCCCCCCGCCCGCCGACCCGCCCTCAACATCCCAGTTCTCAAAGATACCGCTCGGGGTCTCAGGGCAGCTTCCACGGAAGCTCCAGCAACATCTGGAACGGGGAATCCTCGTTCTCAATGCTTTTGAGATGATGTTGGGAAAAGTTAGGCTGAAACCAAGGGAAATCAAGAAAACAAAGAAAACAAAGAAAACAAGGGAACTTAGAGAAAGTAGGAGGAAACCAAGAGAAAGCAAGGCAAACCAAAAAAGGAAACCAAAGGAAACCAAGCAAAACCAAGGAAAACTAAGGGACACCATGGAAAAACCTGGAACAAATCCAGGAAAGCTTAGGGACGCCCTGGAAAAAGCCATGGGGATTTCCCTTTGTCCCACCCGAACAGAGCCGCTTCTTCTTTCGACGGCCTGCAGGCCATAGGTCTCCCCTCCGCAGGCGCCAGCCAGGGCCTGGAAGGTGTCCCGCACCTGGATCGATCGATCGGAGCGGGGGAAATGTTCGGTCTTACTTGGGCCTTCCGAAGCTAAGCGCCGTTTTTCCCCCCCTTTTTTTAAATATATATATATATATATATGTTTATTTCTTGTTTTCTTTTTCTTACTTTTTAAGGCCGGTAAAAAGCCCTTCGGCTTCATGGTACCACGGCCTGATGTTGCTCTTTGAAGAACGTGATGCCGTTGGACGCGTGGGGCAAAAGAACGAACTACAAGCGGACCCCGGCCGTTCCGCAATTCAAGCTAGGCCCCTCTTCAAAACAACACGATACAGACGCATGTATATAAATATAGGCTATAATAATCCTAATGCCGATGACCTAATAACAATACCACCTAATAACAATACCACCTAATAACCAATGCACATGACACACACTAAAGTATTGAGGAAATACACAATAATACATACTAGGCAGCACATTACAACCTATAAATAGATAGATAGATAGATAGATGATATCATATAAGATAAGCTAAGACAAGATACAATAGATAAATAGATAAGACAGCTAAGACAAACAGATAGATAGCTAGCCAGGTAGATAGATAGATAGATAGATAGATAGATAGATTGACAGGGAGAACCACTATCATACAAGACAAGATAGATGCATGGATAGAGGACATATAAGACACACAATATAGATAACATTGATCAACACGATACGATATATATATATATATGTATCGTTAGACGCAACAACAATAATACATAGTACACACTTGACAAATACATCAATGACCATGGTAATTAAGCAACTAAATACGAACAACCACGGAATTAACCAACCAACCAACTAAGCAAACACACAAATTTATTCATAATTACTAAACACATTTTATGTATAATTTATGAACAACACCATAAAACAGTAAACCTATTTTCGTGTGTTCGTGAACACATACATAACTATGATGGCTAAATACCACACTAACATCAATCAACTAAGTAATTTCCATGGCCAACGAGTCCCACTCTTTGTTGGTTGCCCTCCCTCCCACCAACATGAGAGGGGTCTCTTTAAGGGGCAGCTGATGTTGCAGGTACCCTCCAGGGAGAATATGAATTCTCCAAACAAATTTGCCTTCAGGGTCCAAGGAATTTGGACCCCAGATGGCGGCTCTCCTTTTGGTTTCCCTTGAAACCAACCTGATCAGGGTGGCTTCAAAAACAAAGAACCATGAATGCCCTCCCTCTCAAACAGACCAAGATCGGCTTCTGCTTGGGACCTCTCAGGTGTCCGGGCCTGCTCCTCAGTCTTGGGCCCCAGATAACTCCTGCGCCACTTGGGCTGCTTTTTCTCAAGAAACTCCAGGGCTTGTCGCTCCGCGGCAGACCAGGAGCTCTTGTCCGCCTGAAGTGCGGGGGTGGCTTTGGGCTCGGCTGGCGGAAAGGAATGAGACATGCACTGACCCCATGGCTTCAGAATTCCCCGAGCACCAAGCTTGGGACTTGCAAACTTTGTGGGTTCCAGAAAGGCTGTGGATGTCTTGAGTGACTCGAAAGACTCGAAATGGATAGAACAATAAAGATGGGGATGTCATGTCCACCGCTAGCTGGTTCCCGGACCGGACATTTTTAGGAGCGAAGGCTTCCCCAACCCGTTTCGGGAGCCTTGGGCCCTTCTCGGCGGTTCTCAGGACCCATGACCGCGTTTTGTTTTCTCGGTTGCGAAATCTGCTCCCCTGCTAAAAGTGACTAACTTTTATAGTGGAAAACCCGTTAGTTGGCAACAAGTTAAAGTCCTAACAGCCAAGCAAAATGCACCAAAGTTTGCTGTCCGCCACGAAACTTGCGGCTTCTTTGGCGTTTCCTGTCACACGGGGCCCAAAAGGGGACCCTCAAACAAAGGACACGCCAGCCACTCTTTGTCACTTTCGGAGATTCACTTGCCACAGAAAGCGGCAACCAAGAACCACACGCGTTTGTCTCAAAAACAGGTGACGGGGTCTCACAGCCACCAATGGCCACCAATGGTACCTAAACCCACAAACATGTTCGCAACCAGGACTATGGGTCTGGGTGAATTATAATTGTGGTGCCGCTATTCAGAAGCGGTCTTTTCCTCGACACAAAAACGGCTCCATTGTGCATGGTTTGATTGCCTATACATGAACCCCTATGGTTCACACTCCTCCCAGGTACAATCCGTTAGGCTTGCACCTGCGCTACCGGTTCCGCCCCTCAGCTCAAGCCGTCCTCGATGTAGGTCATCACCCCGGGATCCTGGCGTACCCCCTCCCTCTGACTCCGGCGCATCGTCGGCACCGGTCGAAGGCATCCCACCTCCGTGTTGCCGCCAAAGTGGGGCAGTAATGGTACCTGACCCCGTAGTCTGTGGTGAGCTCCCTCACGATGACGGGGACCGAATGCTCCTCTTCTACGTCTTGCATCCGGAGCTCCTGTGCGAAGCACCATGTGCAGACATACCTTGCCTCTGCTCGACTTCCGGCGCACTCTCTGGTGTGGTGTGCGATCCTGTCATTCTTGTTGAAGAACAGCTCTTCGTCCGGAATATCCCACCTTTCGTTGCGCACCTCTTCCTCGATCTGGACCAGTTGCCGCTCTTGATCATCTGCTGGCGGTTGGTCCTCCCTCCTCCAGGGTGTCTCCTCGCATAATCTCTCCTCCATGGTGCATTGACGATCAGCTTCCCTTTTCCTTTTCCAGAGCCGATTCCACCCTTTCCTTTCTCCAACGGCCTCCTCATGGCCTCTGGTGCTGCTTTTGATCTAGCACCCAATGCTTCCGACCCTCCGCCACCTCCGGTAGTAGTGGATCTTCTCCTTGTAGTTGATGCCGATGCTCTCGACGACGATGAAGCCTCTTCTTCCGACTCCTCTTCCTCGTCACCCGCCGGCATCTTGTTGTGTCCACGCATCGCCCTTATGATCCCCTCTGCTTCTCTTCTCGCATGCCTCTTTCACCATCGCCGCCACCTTGATTGCCAGAGCCGTGAAGAGGGCCACCAGGATGCCGAAGCCGACCAGGGCGTTGTAGTTTCCCTGATCTTCTTCCTCGACTTTCTCCTCTTTCGCCGCCACTGCCTGGACTTGCATGCAGCATGCCAAAATGGCCAACGCTGCCTTTCCTTTTTCCAGGTCCACCTCCAGGGCTCCTCCTTCTTCTGGCTTTGGTGCTCCAATCTCCACCAAACCTGCCATCTTGCGCAGATCACGTAGGCGAGTTCCCGGCAGACACTTCGTGCCCATGTCGGCGACCAGATTGGCGCCCATCCGATGCACTATCTCACATAGAACGCTCTCAGACGAAGATGACGCGTCCGCCACGATCCAGCATCTCCTGTGCACAGCGAGACCGCCGCTCGGTTGTCCCCAATCAACGTCCGCGAATAGTCCATCTCCGTCTTGATCTCCTGGATCAACGCGTCTACCGAGTCCCCAAGAACCATTCCCTCTATCATCTCCATCAGCTCGGACTCGGCTGTCGACAGCGTAGGGAAGCTCTGCCTCGAAGATCTCCACGCCAGCATTGATCCCTGCCATTTGACCATTACACAGCCATGGCTAATCTCGCCGCCCGGCGCGAAGCTCGCATCCGTGATCACCGCTCCTCTACTCTTTCTTCCATCTGTGTCCTCCCCCATGTCCTTGTCCAGCAGGATGCCCTCCGTCTTGGTCGCGTTGAGGTACCGCTGTGTTTGGGTCGCGGTTCTCTGCACCCATCGTGGAGCCTTGGACACGAAGCTCGACATTCTCGAAACCACGTAGGCCAGGTCAGGTCTACTCCGGGTGACCAGCCAAATCAACTCGCCCACCAGGCGCTGACCCGTCTGAATCTCCTCCGCCGTGATCCCGATCTCTGCCTCTGGCTCGCTGCACTCCTTGCTCATGGGGATCACCGACTTGCCAGTGACATTGTTCCGATCGATGATCTCCTTGATGTAGTCCATCTGGTCCAAGGTGATCCCCTGCTCCGTCACAGAGATGTTCACCCCGCAGAACCTTACCGGCTCCTTGCCGAACCAGCTCTCCTCTGATGATTCCCACGTGCCCTTGATCTTCTCCATGAGGGCTTGAGGCACTCCTTCCACGCCTAACAGCATGAAATCGTCCACGTAGACTAGTAGTAGGCCGACCAGCTCGTCCGAATTCAAGTCGTCCTCTACCTTCTTCACCAGCCACAGATTCGGTTCGCTCCTCATCTTCAGCCAACGCTTGCCATAGCTGATTCTCCACCTCCTCATCTCGTCGTCCCGGTAGTCCGACCAGCACCTCGGACTCTGCCGTAGGCCGTACATTGCCTTGTTGACGATCCACAGCTCCCCTTTAGGTATCAACCCCATCCGGACCAGTACTGCCGGCGGTCGCATGGCCACCGTCAGCTCTCCTTCCTGGTCAACTGCCTGCAGCGGGGCATTCAGGAAGGCTCCTGTCACGTCCACTGCGCCTCCTTGCCACCCGCGAACCGCCGCCTCCTTCAACGCCAACCGCAAAGCCACCACGTCCGTGCCCCCCGCAAAGAGCGGCGTGGGGCCTTGTGAGACTCCCCGTAGTTGCCGCACACCACCAGTCGGCACTTACGCTTCCTTCCGGTTTGATGGTGAACACCCCCTTACCGGGTAGTACTTGCACCCGTGGGTTGTTCTCCAGCAGCTCCCTCGCCGATGCCGGGTTGAGCCTGGTGATTGCACCCTTTTCTTCCACGATGGTGTCCAGCTCCTTCTTCATGGGTGCTTTCCAATCCTCCAGGTTCATCTCCACCTCCTTGGCACTGACGATCTTGGTCTGGAGTATCTGCTCCTCGTCTTTTTCCACCTCTGTGCTGCTCCTCAACTCCTCTTCTTCCTTCTTCAAACCTTCTAGGGCTTTCACCACAATGTCCATCACCTCCAGCTCGTCGTTCGTCACCGCCTTCTCTTCCTCCTCTATCGTGGATCTGAGCGCCCGCAACCTCACCAGAACCCCTTCGTCTTCCAACACCTTCTTCTGGGTCTTATCTCTTATCCTCCTCCGGACACGATAGGGTTCCTCCGGCTCGCGCTCTTCTCCCTCATCACCTCTCCTTTCCACGAATTGCCACCCGTCCACTGGCTCCGGGAGAGGTTTCCAGTGGTGCAGCACATGGACTGTTCCATCCTCTCTCATCACAGCGTGACCGTTCGGTACGTCCACCACCGGGGCCAAATACTTCCCCTTGACGTGCCTTGGGCCCAGCTCCTCTGACTTCCACTTCCTTTTCTTCACCATCACCTCCTGGCAGAATCTGGGTATCGTGCCCTCTTTTCTCTGCCTTGTTCTCTTATCCTTCTCCACCACGTACCTAGCTGCAGCTGGCCACCACTGTCCATCCACCTCGGCTGCAAAGAGCACTCTCCTCATTCTTGACTTCAAGTGCTTGATGGCCACTTCTGCTCGTCCATTTGATCTCCAATCATCTGCCGCCGTACTCGTCTTCGCGATGTCCCGGTTGAAGCACCACCGGCGCAAGGCATGGTTCATGAACTCCTTGCCCCTGTCGCTCTGCAATCGCGCCACTGGAAAACCTTGGCGCTTCAATTCCAGGTACATCGTCTGTGTGGCGTCCAAAACCTCTTTGCCTCCTTTTGTCGAGAGAGGCACTGCCAGCGTGTGGATTTCAATCTCCAGTGGCTCCTCTCTCTTCTCCTCATCCTCTTCGTACTCGCCCAGGTCGCCTTCTTCCATCTCTCCATCTTCCTGTTCTCCAACCAACTCCTCCAGCTCGAAGTCCCAGATCCCCTCAGAAGGTCTCCTTCTTCCTTCTCTTCTTCTTGAGGCTCTTCCTCCTCCGGGCCCTCTAGCTGCAAGATCGTCCGCCCGGCCCATCGGCTCTCGTCCTCAAAGACTTTTTCCGTCTTTTCGGCATTCCTCCAGTCGTCCATGAACATCTTCAGCGGACCATCTTTAGTTGTCCGTGCTATGGTCCTCCTCCGTCCCCGTAGTCGCTTCACAGGCACTGGACATCCTGGGGCATCGTCAGGGAAGAACCTTACCTTCCGGTGGCTCTTGTGCACCCTGATCACGTACTTGCCGTTGGCGCTGGTGGTCCAGTAGTCCTCCGGTCGTTGCCCGGGTTGGTCCGGTTTCTTGACCTCCTCCAGGCCCTTCGCCTTGCCAGCTTCTCCACCTCCATCTCGTTCCTTCTCCGGGATCTCCTCAGACTTCAGCGGATTCTTCGGCCATGTGTACGCGCCCACAAGCATGTACTTGCAGCTCCGCCCGTCGATGTCTCTTCCCTTCTTCAGCGGTCCAGCCAAATCCAACGAAAGGCAGTAGGCGTGCTTGTGCTTGATCCTCCTATAGGGTCGGTCTTGACCACTCGCCTCCTGACAAACTCGGCAGTCCCTCCTCATCGGGCAATGTCCCGCCGCGATGTGCTCCTGCCAACTCAGCTTCCGCAGCTTCACCACCTGCTTCCTGACCTGCGTCAGAATCGTATACGGGCGTTGGAGGAGCCGGTGGAAGCTGCTACGATCCCGGAGGCGCTCAAGAGTTTGAGAAAGTGGCTGAGGTGGAGGCGGCGGGCGAGCGAGATGAACTTGGCGTTGCCAGACCCCACGGTGATGATGAGGGGCCTCAGCAAGATGATTCGAAAAGTGGTGGAGACGAACCAGGAGCTGACGTTCCGGATTTCCCTTGCCCGGAACACGCTGCGGGTGGACAGCGTGCCGACGCATGGAACGGTGCAGCAGTTCGCGGAGCATGTCTTGGCCGAACTGGAACAGAGCAACCAGGGGGGTGAGAGAAAGGTGACAAAACCCGTGGACGCTAAGATCCGGAAGGTCGAGACAGAGAAGGAGCAGGGGACTGGACGTAGAGACCTAGTTTGCAGGTTCTACATGAAGGACACCGGCTGCAGAAAGGGTCGGAGTTGTGAGTGGCAGCATCCCACGGATGAGACCGCAAGAGGACGCTGCTGGGAGTGTGGATCAGTGGAACACATGAGGAAAGACTGCCCCAGAAAGCAGAAGCCGACATCACCTGAGAAGCCGGCGGCTGTGAGAAGGGTGGCCCAGGAAAACGACGTGGCGACGACACCGGCTTCGGCACCCTCACCCAAGAAGGAGGAGATCAAGCCGACCCGGGAGAAGGAAACGGTGGTGGAAGATTCGAGGAAAGACGAATCTATGGGTGGGGTGTTGCAGGAAGCAGCAAAGATGCTACGGAGCCTCAACGCCTCGCAGGGAGTCAAGAAGGTGGACGAGAGAAACGACCGCTTGGACGACCTGCAGAAACAGTTGAATGGGTTGAGATCTGGGTCTCTCAAAAGGGCCCAGGTACACGCTCAGGGGAGGTGGAGTGATGGTGGGCTACTGGACTTGGGAGCTACGCATCCTCTACGTGCCCGGCAAGAAGGTGAAGACATCGAGAATCTGGACGAGATCGATGTTGCCCTGGCCGGAGGAGAGATGAAAGTCATGCGGATCACGGAGGGAGGCATCATCGTCCAGGAGAACGAGGGCGTGGGCTCCATCATTCCGTTGGGTCTGCTGGAGAGGTTGCACTGCGTGGTGACGTGGGATGGGGCGTGGTACATCCAGAGCTGGGAGCTTTGCGGATTCACATGGAGGATGGATGCCCCTATGTGACCCAGCGGACGGCGACTAAGTTGCTCGAGGAGCTTGAGAAAAAGGGGAAGGAGAAAAGGAAGGGCCGGATTAGCGAAGTAAAGCTAAAGAAGGTCCTGGACTGCGAAACGGTCAGAAAGGTGGTGGAACTACATCCTGCGTTTCGTGACCTACCGGAGGAGGTGCGAAGGAAGGTTCTGGTGGAGCCGGCGGAAACATTGCGGGCAATCCCATGGAATCGGAGACGGAGAAGGCCCTTGGAGCAGAAAGGCCGGAAAGCCAGACCCCGTGAAGGATACACCCTGCAAAGGGCGGTGAAGGAGCTTGGAGGCGACCACATGGACGTCTTGGAGATTGACTTGCAGCGTGGGCCGGAGCACGACATGATGTCGGACGAACTCTATGCAGCCCTGCTGCGGGGCGCGTTGGATTCCCGTTTCGATGCGGTGGTGGGTGGACCGAATTGCTGGCCAGGAGTGTGCTCCGACATTATCCACTACCTGGCGGTGGTCCACGACCGGTGAGGTCACCGGCAGAGCCGTTTGGGAGGAGCGACCTCACGCCTCATGAGAAAAAGGCGGTCTGGGAGGACGACGTGATGATGTGGCGAATGTTAGCCATCTACCTGGTGGCGGAAGAAGCGCGGAATGCGAAGGGAGGCCCACAGGTTGGCTTCGTGTTGGAGCAGCCGGCGGATCCCAGGAAGTACATGCCTGGATGCCCGACCTTCTGGGGGACGACCCAGTGGGAAGCATTTGAGGAGATGGAAGGCATGGCCGAGTACGAGTTCTACCAGGGGGAATTCGGAGGAGCGGCGCAAAAGCCGACGACATTGGGGACCAACCTCTACATCGACCTGCCTGAAAGAAGGGTGACCGGGCTGGTGTCAAGAGCCCGGATGGAAGAGGTGGACTTCAGAGACTCGAAGAACCTCGCAAGGTGGGCTCTACCAGAAGCCTGCAGATCGCCCCGTAGGCCGACACCGTATTCGTGGCGATCATCTCGTCTGTCACCGTCTCCGGAACCGCCTGGATGATGAGCGAAGCTGCCCGCCTTTCCAACCGACTCCATTTCCGTACCCCCAACACCACTCGCGGGCCTCCTTTAAGAGTAGGTCCCACCATTCCATCGAGCTGTCACTCAGGTCCGACATCAGGGGATGGATAATGGTGAGCCAGTCCCCTAAATCTATCGGACCATTCTCCGGGCTAAACTCGCCCAGGCGAGGCAACTCCGCGAAGCCCGCCTTGACCGTCTCGATGGTCTCCTTCTTCTCCTTCTGCTCCAAGAGCTGCTTCTGCATCATCTGCATGCCCTCCATGAGCTTCAGCATTACGTCCATTTGATGGCCATCCTTTCCGGATCCAGCCACATCACTTGCCCTTTCCGAGGCACCGCCATCCTGCTCATCCCGAGCATTTCCTTTTTCACCACCAGCTCCAAGTCCGCCTTCTCCGCCCTTGCCATTCGAGTGGTCGCGGGTCGGGTCGTAGGGCTCGTGGTTCTGATTGTCCCTGACCGTGCTCATGCCGTTCACCTTTTCCCGGCTCTCCGGCGCGCCGTAGTCAGCGTCCGTCTCCTTTCCGTGTTTCTTCAGCACTTCCACCTCATGCTGAAGCCTCTGATTCCGCGTCATCAGCTCCTGCATCATCTGCATGAGGTAGACCGGGTCCACTCCCGGTGCCGATGGTGTCGTCCTCGTATCCTGAGACGCCGCCATCATCTTCATCATCTGGCCCTCCGGCTCCGGATTCTCCATGGGTAGGTACCTCGGTCGAAGTTGGCCACCACCCGGGTGTCTCCCTCCAGGTTACTCTCCACGGGCAAGTGCGCCGGCCTCGGTTGGTCCATCCGCGGTCCCCTCAGCAACGGTGCTTTCTCGTCCCACTTGTTGAACTCTCTGAGCTGCTCCGGGGTGAACAGAGGCTTCATGGCTTCTGGCTCTCCTTCCGGTCCATTTGGCCACCTGCGTGGAGGCTCCGGATCGAGTTCCTCCTCGCCCTGGCCTGGCTTGAGCGGTGTTGCCGTGAGCTCAAGCGGCCTCACCACCTCCACCATCCTCCTCGGAGGCCTTCTCCTCCAGCATAGGGCACCATTTCCTGCCCTATGATCTCCAGGCTCTCCACCTCCGGTTCTTCTCCATCGGCAGAATCGAGCCTTTCTCGAGGTTCTCCACTTCCTGATGCCCTTGTCGGTTCCATTGCCGAGCGAGGGCCCCTGTTTTAGGGGTTTGGGCTCATAACCTGTGGTGCCGCTATTCAGAAGCGGTCTTTTCCTCGACACAAAAACGGCTCCATTGTGCATGGTTTGATTGCCTATACATGAACCCCTATGGTTCACAATAATATTTCACCAACCTGAAATAAGGTGGTTGCAGGGCTATTCCCCACGTAAACCACCATTTGGGGTGAGGTCACGTGGAATCCTGTGAGGTCGTTATACTTCACCCAGATGGGTGTCTTATTGGAATTAGTACCATTTCTTGGGTTTGTCTCACAAAAAGCTGTCCGCCGGTCCTCGGCAAACGCCGGCCGCAGCGTCGGAGTCGGGGCCGCCCGACTAAAGAAGGCCGAGGGCAGGGGCTCGAGGAAGCCCGGCGCTCGCGCCACAAAGGCCAGCGCCAGTAGGGCGGCGGCGCGGCGGCAACGCATAGCTGAAGGACTTAAAAAACCACGTCTGCTTCAAAGGTGCTGTGGATGGACCAAATCAGTTTCGCACCACCCAAGAAGCCCTGGAATGGTCTGATTCCCAACGTAAATACCAACAAACAGTGGTTTCTCATGGTTTCTTAGGTGGTGCAGGATTTCGTCCATCCGCAGTATGTCCAAGCTGCATGGAATTCGAGCTTCAACATGTTAAGTCTTTTGTTGGCTATCCCCAATTCTTTAGTTTAACTGGTGAATCTAAAGGTGTTGAGTACTGAATGCGACGATGTATCTTCTGCCAGTTTACTTGCGAGAAGGGCCCCATGCTGTGAAACAAGTGATTCTGGTCGGCAGCTTATCAGGGATGTTTTCAGATCTAATCATGTCCACAATCTGCCCGTGTCCTTGCCATTTGCATGCTCAAAAGTATGAAGCCCAACACTCCAGAGCTATCTGATCCGCGGCACAACACGCGCGAAAGCCCCGGATTTCCCATGGCGTGCACGTCTTCTGGGGGGTGCCTATGTCATCGGATAAATTCGTGTGAGAGGAGTCTCCCGGGGCCAACTATGGTCCGGACTGGCCCCATATTGCCCTCCCAAAAACAAACACCTGCACAGGGGTTCGGTTTTAAGGCAATGGTCCAGGATGTTTGTGGGTAGCGATCTTTTCGACCCCAAAAAAGGATCTTTGGCTTCATGCCAGGGGTGGATGCTCAAGCCATGCAAGCCCGCAATCCTGCCCAAAGCCGAGCGCCAATAGGTGAATTTACAAAGCAGAGTGTTGCATTGATCCCTCGCCGAAAATGACGCTTGTAGTGGGAGATGTCATAAATCCCTCTAGGCCTGTGGATATTTCTATGAGACTTGCCCTCTCCACCACTCGCCGGCACTCCTTAATGTTCCAGAGAAAAGCGAATTGGGCCAAGGAAGCCAGCAAAGAGGTAAGAGCTGCTGCCTGATCAAAACACTTCAATAAGATAAAATATGCCTCAAAGCGTGGGTTCGACTGAACAACCTCACCTGCAAACGCTTACCATATTCGCTTGCTGCTGGGATGCTTTCGACACTTGCAAGGGTCTCTTTTCAGACGCCTTGGTCAAGCAAGTTTTGATACCCATATCCACTCGGCCACCCCAAAAGCGACACCTGGGATTTGGCCACCGGAGGTCTGAGAAGAGTGGGTGTCTGGCCTGCGATGCAAGCTTCGGCAGCCATGGCACTCCTGAAGGGACCGGGAAAAAGATCGGGAACCCCGAAAATGGTGGGGTTTCCTTGGTTTCCAAAAACCAGCCAAAATGGGTACCCTCCAAAAACGGCACCCCCAAATCTATCCCTTTGTGACTGTAGACCATGAGTCCAAGAGCCCCGCTGGGTATTAGATCATTTGGAACTCATGGTGCATCGAGAGTCCTCTGTCGCAACTCAAACCTGTCAAACTCCTCAATTTCAGACCCATGTAAATAGGAATTGGAACCCCCAAAATGGGTGGGCTCTTTTTGGTTCCCTTGCATTCTTTTCGCACTGGTACGCCCAAACAAGCCCCACACACACACACACACACCCACACACACAAGGATTCCGCTCAAAAGGCACTCCTCGCTAGCGCCAAGGGCCTTGTGAAGTCGCGAACATGGAAGCCATGTCGACTTCCAAGGTACTGGCTGCATTGCGAGTAAGGCAGTGCACGAGCCAAGAACAAGCCCTTGGCAGGCTGCGGAAGAACGCGGTATCGTGCTGTTAGGTTGTGATTGGGAGCCTAGCGGTAATTGCAACCCAGGATTAATAAACCGGTTGATGAATCGGAGGTGTCCCATTTTACGGGATCCTTCAGTTTTGCGGGAAACAGCAAAAAACATCCACCAGGTTGATGAATCCAGGGTCGACGTTGCCAGCAACGAGAGACAACTGCCTCCTACCTCCTCACTGTTTGCTGCAATCTGGGCACGCTTGCAGGTTGGGACAGCCATGTTGCTTGCCACTTAGCCTAGCCACCTCTGACACAATGCATCCTCTTAGCGCACCTTTGTCTCAACTTTGGCCACACTCCACTCTCGCACGACTTTGGCGATATTGAAAGACTTTGTGCCTGCTACTCATGTGAGATACCAAACGTTTTATTTTCTTTCTTTTTTTTCCTTTTTTTTTCTGGCCATTTCTCAAGTCCAAATTTGAAAACAAGTTGGTTGTACAGATCGCACGCAAGGAACCAGAATGAGATTCGCTTCAGCCCTTGGTCAAAGACTTTCAGTCTCACGCATCATTCCTTGGACATGTGCTGTTGCAAGCCCCGATTCCGAATTGGCCATCGACATTGAACAGTGGCAGTTGGCTTGCCGGTCCGATTGGTCTAGGCTCTCGTCTCACACAACATGGCATGGCTCTTTTAGCCATCATTCCACATGCAGAGCAAAGGCACCCCGCTTCCCGCTTGACTGCTCGGGTTCGGGTGTGTTGCTTTTTGGGGAAGACCCTTTTGGCTGATTTTCCAAGGGAAACAAAACAAACAACATTTTGGGGGCCCTGAAAACGCACCCATGCCTGTCAAATGGTTGAGACCGGCAAACTTCCGACCTTGAACCCTGCTTGGGGTGCCTCTGCAGTGAAACGGCGTCGTGCGTCGCTGTGTCATCTGACAGCAGCCTTCGGATCCACAATGACGAACTAAAAATGAACATGCCGAAGCGAGTAGACTGAAATATGCATGTCTCTCTGAGATCCACAGAAGCATCCCCATCAAGTCATACCAAAGGTATGGAAAAATCTCACAGCTCCTCTGTGGCCACGCGCAAGTACCCGTCCTGCCCGGCTGCTGGGCTCAAGGGAACTCCAACCAGCAGCTTAGACATATGTAAGCAAATACGTGTGTATATATATGCATAAACATATATGAACACACATGCGCACGGACATTAAACCAAAAAAACACACACAACAACATGTATTTATGTACAAAACAAATACACATGTGAGTACATGTTCATCTGCAACCCCCCCCCCCCCCGCCCACCCCGAACCGCTGACGCTGCCACCAGCCACAAGCCACCACCACCACTCACCACCATGTCTGTCTCTGTCTCTGTCTCTGTCTCTGTCTCTGTCTCTGTCTCTGTCTCTGTCTCTCTCTCTCAATCTCTCTCTCCTCTCTGTCTCTTTCTCTCTCTCTTTCTCTCTTTCTCTCTTTCTCTCTTTTTCTCTTTCTCTCTTTCTCTCTCTCTCTCTCTCTCTCTCTCTCTCTCTCTCTCTCTCTCCTCTCTCTCTGTCTCCGTCTCTGTCTCTGTCTTTGTTTCTGTCTCTGTCTTTGTCTTTGTCTCTCTCTTTCTCTCTGTTTCTCTTCCCGTCGTAGAACCGGTGCTCTTTCTCTCCAAGTCAGCCAAAGCCGGCCAAACGCACAAGCTCGCCGAGATCTACCGGCTTGCTCCTGGACACGGCAGCGATTTGCTGTCAATGGGGCGCACCCACCCGCCCGCCCGCCCACCCACCCACACCACAGTTCGTACATTCAAGGGTCACACGTGGGCTTGCTTCAAGATGCAGACTCCTTTGGGCGATTTTTTTTGCCGGGCTTGCCTCAACCAAGGACCCAGGAAACCAACCACACCTTTGGGGGACTCCTTTTTTGGGCGATTCTTTGCCGGGCTTGCCTCAACAAAGACCCAGGACCCAGGAAACCAACCACACCCTTGGGGGGGGCGGAGATTTTTTTCGGTGAGAGACACCAACTCCACAGGCCTTGAAGCTCAGGGAGTCCCGAGCTCCAGAGCCGGCGGCCTGATTTTGGCTGCGAGACCCTTTGCCCAGGTGGCCATGGGGCCAAACCCATGGAAGGCCCCCAGCGAATCATCCGACTCAATCCGACCCACTAAAATAGGAAACCTAAGATGGGCGGTGAATTCGCCAACCAAAATGGGATCCCAAAACGGTCTTGACCCCCATGTCCTTACAGAAGCCCTGGTAGCTCCAACAGGCTCCCCATTGCAAAACACGAAAAAAAAGATACCCCCCGGCTCCCGAACGGCTCCCTTTCAACCCTTGGCCCCTGAAATGGAAAGATGAACACCACATTTCGACGCTGCCGTACTTTGACACATCAAACGCTAGCGGTGTCTACCCAAATGGACATCAACACAAAAATCCGGCGCCAAACAAGTGGTTACCATTTTCCCAACCTGCAAGTCCACTCGAGTCACAATCAAGACCTGGTAGTAAAATTTGTCTACCCAAACCAATCTGCCGTCCCTTCACCTTCGCGTGCTCGGGTTTCGATTATGGCTCAGGTGTGGCTGCAGTGCAACTGCTGTCTGAAAAGCGCGATCCTAAAATCTCAACCTAGAAACCGGCAGGCTGATTTCTTATAGTCAACTCCGTTGGCAACTTGGGCAGTCATTTCGCTTGTTTCTCGTAGGATTGGGTGTGGGAATGGTGCCCTTTCTGGCAGACCATTCACCGTGCCACCCCATTTTTCAGAATCCGACGTCCCTATGTTGAGCTGTTTGCCACTCAGGCTTTCAAATAAACCCTCTTTCAACTTAAAGGATTCGACCCTCTTTCAAGTAGACCCTCTTTCAAATACACCCTCTTTTAAATAAACCCTCTTTCCTCTTTCAAACAAACCCTCTTTTGAATAAACCCTCCTGTTTGGATGGCTTTCAACTTAAAGGATAAACACAACTCGCTTGTGGGGAAGTAAAGGGAAGGACTAAACCAACGCGGAAGAATGGCGTAAGCTACTTTCACGCAGTACATAACAAGCACCTAATACATATATATATATATATGTAGTATGTATTTAGGGGGTATCCCACTATTAATTTAAAGGTAAACCACCACCCCAGGCAACACGAAGCAAATGTACAGCGCAGCGCGACGGTGGGCCGATCCCCGTTTTGGTGTCGAAGGTAGGAACTTCTTCAAAAGTGCTAAGAAACATGTCCTCGCAGCCATGGGAAACAAGAGCAGGCGCCGCATCCTATCATGATTAGAGCTAGGCCCAGTTCTCGAATGTATATTTTATTGTTTGCTTCACATGGAGTCACTGGTAAAATGTAAAATGTATCCTAAGTCTACCCATGACGAACCAACATGAAACCGATCATGTTGGGTCCACCAGGCTTTGACGCAAACCTCGAGAGAAGTCTGCCGAACAAGGCCTTGCACAGCAGCTGCAGCAGAGACAGCACTGCTACGCCTCGCGACTTGCGATACTCGGAGGCTGAAGTGTTTTCTGGTGCTTTCAATCATAGGGGCCATCAAAACCGTTGAACCAAATGAGCCAATTGACAGAGCCCCGCGTCCAGACACTGAAGCATTCGAGTGGTAAGAGCCATCAGAGTTGGCTTCCTAAAGGCTTTGCTTCCACTCCATGGGACAGACCCTTGGGTTTGAATCCGGGATCGGAAAGTATCCCCTTTGGTTTTTGTTTTGAGAAAGGCTATTTAGCACCCAGGTCAGAAGATGACTCACAATCCAGCAGTACAGCGCGCCCCTGGCCTACCTTTCTGTCCTTGATGGAAGAGCCGCCAACCAAGTGACCCCAAGCTGACAGCAATTGGGTCCTCGGATAGTCGGCCCTTTGATGGTCGCAGGAAACCATTCTTTCAACTCAACCCCACCACGGACTTAGATGAAGTTCCAGCCACTCACCTTGCGGAAAGGGGGTCTCACAAGCCAGCATGAGAAACCTCCACTTGGAAGAAGCTACTTGGTAAGTAGATCATCCAGTGTCCGTGCTAAACAGCCCGTGATGGTTGATTGATGTGCATTTCTTCTAAACAACGCCAAAGGGGGAATGGACGAGTGCCGAATTCTCCCTGAACCGCCAGAGACTATAACCATGGTTGCCACTGGTTGAAGGGACGCCGAAAGGAGCCACCCTTGTGAGTGCGTCTTTGTTTGAGTTACTTTCTTGCAGGGTTTCGTCTGCTTTCCCTTTCTGGTCGGCTTTTTGAAAGGCTACCACGGGGGTCGTTCGTCTCAAAAAAGAAAAAAACGAGCCGCCCACTTTGAATTTGGCCAAGCCCCGGCCTGCAAGGAGGCCCAAGGCTGCGGGGCCCAGTGTCCTGCAGTGGCGTTTCGTTTTTGTTTTTTGTTTTGTTTTTGTTCCACGAAGAGGTGCGCCAGGTGAAACCAACAAGACACCAATAGGAAAGCTCCCCCCAGGAAACGTCTGGACATTTGGAAAACACGTATGCAGCCAAATGCCACACCAACGTTGATGCGATTCGGCCAAGACGATTGATCATCCCCACGTGCGATTCTTAAACCAGAAAATGGCCCAGTCAGAACACATTTCCCGAGGGCTCCAAAAAATGGACCAGTCAGAACACATTTGCGGGCTGGGGTTCGCATTTCTCGAGTGGATGGCCAATGGGATGGATGGGTCATGTAACGCACACCCCACAAGAACCTCAGACATTGCATACCACAGATTCTGCACCTGAGGGAGCAACTCTGGCCTTAGGAGAAGGGTACACAGAAAAGTCATCGGCTCTAACTCTGCTTCATATTTCGTGAACCATACAACATAGGTTTGGACCAAAGAGGAGACCTCAGAAAAAGGCTTGCTCTCAGGTGCTCAGAGATTTACAATTTCAATGGCGCACTCAAAACTTGGCCGCAACATGCACCTGTTAAATCTATGAAGTATCATGCAAGTGAAGTCAACCAAGGACTCGCCATGGCTGGGATTTCCCCTCAAGGATTTCAGAGATCCCCTTTTCGGAGGAAATCATATCAACAAAAAACCACCAAACAATATGATTTGCTGTTCCGGGCATGGGACAACTGGGTGGGCCCCAGCGTCTTGGCGTTTTGGCCTATGTCCTCCCGCAACCAAGAAGATTGTCAGCTGCTCAACTAAGATATATGGCTGTGGAACATAATGTGTGATGCCATGTGCCATTCGCTTACCTTCATTCAAGGGGATTCCCTTGGCCGCACACGGAAAGTAACCTCAAAACCAATTTCCCACAACCCCAGGCCACTCAAGATTAGGTTGGTTGTAGGAAACCTGGGTTGGAGTCTGAACTCACCACCTTCGAATCATAGAGTCGGAGTTCGGCCTACAACCTTTCTTCCTCAAAGGATTGCCCCTTCTTTTGCTTCATGTCTTTAAAGAGAGACCACAAGTGAAGCCGAGTTTCCCACTAAAAGTCAGCTTCCCTCAAATTGGTGGCTTGATTCGGTGGTTTGGAGAATTGTGGTGGCTTCCCATCCACCGTTTGTAAGAGGTTCAAATCCAAATCCAACCAATCCAACCACGAACTTCTCCCCTGCAAATTGACATGGAACCCAACTTGTTGGGGTGTTAAGAGGAGCTTCCTCTTCAGATGGGTGTTGTCTGGGCCCGTGTCCATCATTGTCCATCTGTATGACAGTAAGGGTGAGAGAGTCCTCCCACCAGAAACCCCAACTGCCAACCCGCCAACCCCCGCAACCTACCCCCACCTCCCACCCCCGCCTCCCCCACCTCCGACTTCCCAACCCCCCCCGCAGTTCTGTGCCTCGCGAGCCAACGGAAGGCCTTCCGGGGCATTGGCCGATCCAGGGCTTTCGGAGTCAAAATCTTTCGGAAGACGTCCACTTGAGCCACGTCCTCAAAACCCGGGTAGATGAAGCTTAGTAAAGGACGATCCCAGCCATAAATAGCTGCGAAAATCCGCCTTCTTAGTTCTTTACAGGGTTCTGGGTCGACCATTCTTGTACCAGGTTTTGATTGTGACTCACTTGGGTTCAACGAACCACTCTTTGGTGGATGCTGTGGGGAGTTGTGCCCAACTGTTCAAGTGGATCCTGGTACACTTTTGGGGAGCCTTGAAGTGGTTGAGTTCCTTTTGGTTTCCCTTTCACCCCCTCCCCCCTCCCCCCAACAGCAACATCTTGTCGGATGCAGGCACCGGAGCAGGAGCCGGAGCCGGAGTGTCGGAGACGGAAAACAGCTATGGCGTTAACTTGGTCTAAATTGGTGCAAAAGCGAAAAGCCAACAACTCGACTTAAACATCCCTCCGTCCAGTCATGAAGACCCCATTTTGGTGGAGTTTCCTTTTGGCTCCCCTTTAAAGCCATACCAAGAACCAGTGCTCAAAAAGAGACGAGCCACCCACATGCCTATCCGGGTCAATGAGAAATATATCCCCAGAGCCGTCTCCTTTCCCCGCCCGACTCATTCGACTCGCCTTGCTCACCCGAGACGCTGGGAGCCACTGGTGCCTCACGTTGCATAGGCGTCCTTTTGGAACATGGGGAAAAAACAACATCGCAACGGTTAACCAAACTAGCCAAACTATCTTACATGGATGGCCCCGGTTACCGGTGCCTTCTATTTTCCACCAAACTAACCTAAAAAAGAAAACCTATGGCAGTTGACTAAAGGTGCTGTTGAACCGCGAAAGGTGCCCAACTGTTGGGGCTAGAGGCAAGACACCCAACACGTAGGATCTCTTCTCAGGCAATAAACTGGGAGGGGTCCTCCAGTACAGGGATGAGATGCAAATCAAGCTCGCAGTTCACAGCGCGAGATGATCTGCGGAATATCAGTGGTGTCAATGCCTTTCCCTGCAAGTTGGCCATACCACGCTTGTATCAACTCACATCCTCCCTTGGTGCTTTGAACTTGCTGTTCAAATGGTAAACACTTGCGTCACAAGATGCTCAACCCGACCATGATCAAGAAAGCGAGAGACCCAGAGAGAGAGAGAGAGAGAGAGAGAGAGAGAGAGAGAGAGAGAGAGAGAGAGAGAGAGAGAGAGCAAGAGAGCGAGACAGAGAGAGACAGAGAGAGACAGAGAGAGAGAGAGAGAGAGAGAATAGTCTGGCTTCCTGAATTCTCAACAGTTCCTTCGTTTTGAGTCCTCCTCCCCAAAGTGGCCCTGGACGAGATCTTCCTGCCCGAAGATTCATCTCCGGAAATTTCCGGGCCACCCCTTCGACTTCAACTTTTCTCTCCAGACATCAAGGCAAGTGATCCCAATGAACGAACGACAACCCCTTCTTAATCTTGTTCCCCTGCTAAGACATGAATGCTGTTGTGTGTTTCCTTTTCTTCGAACCCCCCAATCTTGCGGGGCCCTGCATCTGGGGCACACAGAAAATAATATTATCTGACTCTGCAAGTTTTGGAGGAGACCCCAGCAATCGACCAATTCCAACTTCACACCCGGGAGAAGCGACTACATCCGGCGACGTCTTTTCACGGACACCGTCTCCAAGCGGAAGACTTCCTTTCGGTTTCCCTTGAACACCATCCCAAAGGTCCAGATCTCGGGCCCAGGCCCAGCAGTGTACTGCACCATGATGGGCAGCGAAGATAAAACGCTCCCGACGGCCGCGGTGTCCTGCGAGTCGGCTGCGAAACGAGCCGAAGGTTGGGGAGAGAAGAAGGGGTTGTTCCGTTTGTCAGATCGCTGGCTATACGTGACTCACTTTTAGTGGTTAAGTGGAAACCCAACCACTAAACCAACTATCTTAGAAAGCTGAGCGGGTGGCTGGGAACCACCCAGAAGAACGGGTGATTGAAGTGAAGGTGTACTTAGGGAACCCCACTCCATCTCCACAACTCAAGTGAGAAAGGCTCGCCTTGCAGCCCGTGAATGGAAACCTCAGATTTTTGGACCCATTCTAATAGGTCCACAAAAGTGATCCGGTATGAATCAACCAGGGGGTTGGTAATCCGGGGAGGACGTTGTGAATCAGCTAGACGATCATTGTATATTAAGTGGGCTTTCCTGGTTTGCGATTTGAAACATCGCAATTCGTCTGGTGCAAGACCCGCGACGCACACAGCAACCCTTGACTGCCATCCGGTCAGCTTGCAGTCGGGCGCTTTTGACGGATTTCAATTAAGATGAAAACATCAATTGGGTGCGAATGTTAATTGAGTGTGACTTTTAATGGGGCCTTTGGTGGATATCAAAATTCGGTGGGGATTCATGCCCACCAATCACTTTTGAGATGGATCCGACTCTTAAACCTCCTGGCCAAATGACTCCACTGTTGCCAATGACTTGAACAACTCTGAAAAACCGGAACATACCTGCGTGCGTCTTCTTTTCCTTTTCTTTGGCGCGGGGTGGGGGGTCTTTTGTTTGGCTTTGAGGGGAAACCAAAGGAACACCCCAACCCATTTAGGGGTTCAACCCCAAAAAAGTGGATACACCCACTGGAAGCGGCCCACTGCCAAAGCCCCCGAGCCCCTCCCGGCAATCCGCCCTTTTCAGATTCAATGGGATCAGGCCCCAAGGCGGAGACCAGGCGCCGGAAGGTGAGGCCTGGGCGTGACATCGGAGGTTGGGTGGGTGGGCGTGGCGGGCGGGCGGGCGGGTGTGGGGGAGAGGCCTCGTGTTTCTGTGCCCAGAGGTAGATCAGATTCCAGGTACCCTAAAAACGTTCTCTCAAAATGAAGTGAGGCAATGGCAAAAGGACAAACCGCATATGTAGCTATCCATTCTTGAACGCCACTTCTTGGCCGGAATTTTGCGTGCGAGATAGCCTTCCTGGCCTCCAAACGAAGCCGGGCTGCAGAAACCGGAAGCCACTCAAACCTCCAGAGTTCAACTCTGGCCCATCTAATCTGAAATATGATTTGGACCTGCGGGTAAGGTTTGCTTCAAAATCAACTTGAACAGGGTCATCTTTGACGACTTGGGTCTTTTCTGACTGAAGGACACCTTGAAAAGCGATGAGCTTCTTGCTACCCAAAAGGGAGTTCACCATTTTGAGACATCCTACACTGAGACCTTGCTCAGTCGTTGCCTCCAAAGGTTTGCTGAATGGCCAATCGCCGACCCTTCAAGACCGCATGGGCCTGCACCTCCTGTAAGCTTTCACAGCTTGTGGCTGATTAACTTGTGATTTAATGGGTATATTTTCCTTTGCAGAGTTTCTGAAACCCCATGAATGGGTGTGTCTTTCTTTAGGGGAGCCCTGGCTTTCCTGTTGGTTTCCTGTAAAACCAAACAAAAAAGGGTACTCTCAAAACTTGGCTGGAAGTACAACCCAAGCAAAAAAACACATTATTTGCCTGGGGAGTGGAAACCACAGGGGACCTCAAAAAAGAAAAAACATGAAAAAGGGGAGCCCACAAAAAGTGGTACTCTCAAAAAAGGGCACCTCCCCCGTCAAAAAAACACAAAACATGTGTGTTTTTCTTTACACAACCATATTATATATATATATATAAATAGTCTAAACCATATATGACAGAAAGAAAGAAACTACACTTGGTGGGTGTCCTGCCCTCAACGAAACGACAGCCCAAATCAACCCCAGAATCTCTGAGGGCTCTGGCTGACTCTGCGCTTGAGCACGGACTCGGGACAAATCTCGTGGGTCCAGTTGTACCTGGCTACCCGGGGTTTGGAAAAGCGTCCTTCGGCATGAGGCGCACACGGCTGTATTTGACAAAAAAGATGCAACTGAGTCCTCTGTCGTAATCTTTATGATCTTAGGGGGGTCGGTTCAGCCAAATCGCCTCCGGGTTTTTGATCGTTTTACATCGGAATCAGGTAGATCACTCAAAGTAGCCTCCACCAGAACCATCCTCAAGGTGTACCACCAAGTGACTTTGAAATTCAAGGCCCCAATCATTTCTAGCATCAAATCTACTTTGAAATGATGTCTTACGAAGACAACACGCTTCAAAAGGTTGTTTCAACCACCTCTTCATTTCCCTTGCAAAACCCGGAGCCATCATTTTCTTGAGCCCCACTATCTTTTTGACCCCCCTCCCTTTTCTTGACCCCGAAAAACCCGAGTGGCTGCTGAAGCCATAGCTACCCAAGCCGTGCGCACCGCGCGGGCCCGGCGAGGCCGTAGACGTCCCCCGGCGCCAGCGCCACGGAGACCGAGACCTCCAAGTCCTCCTCTGAGAGCCGGCACTCCTCGCCTGGGCTTTGAAGTGGTTGGGTTCGTTTTTCTTTTTTGAGGGAGGGGGGTCCTCTGGGGGGTGGGGGGGAGGTAGTGTGTTTCTTTCTTTTTTTGAGGGGGGGGGGGCCGGGGGGGTATCTGTTTTTTGGTGGTGTTAAAAGATGTGAAATGGTTGGGTTGTAAGTTGTGTTCTGTTGCTCTTTTTTCTTTTATTTTTTTTTGGGGGGGGGCACCAGATACATTTTAGAAGGTGGGACACACTGTAAATAGCAACACATTCTGGTGTACCTGGTTTTTTGGTGGTGTTAAAAGGAGGCCAAAAGGAAAGCCCACCCATTTATGGGGGAGCCCGGGAGCCCCACAAAAAGACACAACGGGTTGGGGGGGTGTTGGAAAGCTATTTGCCAGGACGAAGTAAATTTTTGAAGTTTGGCCATGGCTTGGAGAAGGGCTCCTAACCAAAATCCCTTGTCAACAGGGTAAGCTGGGATTATTTCAATAAAAATTACTCGGTTGCTTTCTGCTCGCCTGCTAAAAGTTTAAAACGTTTAGTGGTTGAATGGAAAACCCACTAGTTGTCAACAAGTTAAAGTCCTAACATCCAAGCAACAACCAAAGAAAACTCGTCTGACCCTTCCTCATGGCATCAGCGTTGCCAGCTGCATGACAAACGGAGAAACAGCAACCTCGCAAGACGAACCATGTTGTGGCTTTTCCATATGCCTCTGGCCCCATGGCCAACTTATCTCGCTGATGATTCCAAACATGTGTGGATGTTTCTTAAGATGGACCCCCCCCCCAAAAAAAAAAAGAAGAAGAAGAAGAAAGCAAACACACACACAAAAAAAAAAAAAACACAACACCAACGCGGTGGTGGTTCCTCTGGTTTCACTTTAACTAACCCCAGAGTGCCCCTGTAGCCTTCAGGATGTTCCCGCCTGGCTTCACCGGCAGCCGCTCGGCTCGGATGCGCCTCCACTCGGGATGGGTATGTCTGCAAAGGGGGGAGGGGGGACACCAAGCAGGACGGTTTCCTTTGTCGGTTGGGCTTCCATTTATCTAGTCTTCCCCATGAAAGGAAAATGGAACTGTAAATGAAAATTCCAGGGGTCACCCCCCGCCCCCAATTCCATTTTTAAGGGGGCGGGCTTCCTTTGCTTGTTGAGCTCAGCAACCTTGCTCTACCGCAAGGTAATTAAAGGCCGGCAGACATGTCCCTTGAAACCAAGGTGAGAAGAAAGCCGAGCCGCAAAATAGCCACAATAGCCCCGTATCTCTTTCATCGAGAAAACAAAGAGTGCCGCGCTGTTCAACCCAGCCGTGTGTGTGTGTGTGTGTTGTTCACCAGGGGAAAAAAGGGACCCCAAGCCCGAAGCCAATCCCAGAATCCCAGAACCAAAGGAGACATGCCTCTACCCAACGGTCAACTGGATCACTTTCTGAGGGCTGATTCTGCAGGCTACCTCCATCTGACTAAGAATCCTAAGTCCCCTCACAACCACTTAAAATGGGCGGTATGAGTTCACCCATCCCCCCCAAAACGGGATCCCGTTTAACGGAATTTCGACCACCGCCAAAATTTTGGAAGGAGACACACACCTTCGCCCGCGAAAAATGCGCGCGGCGCGGCTCGCGGGAGTCTCGCGGCCTCAGCTTCAGGGTGGCCTCGGAGCCTAAGCTCACGCCCGCCACCTGCTCCCCGAACTTCAGCAGGTCCACATGTGGCCGGATCCCCTGGCGAGGCAGAGAGGCAGAGAGAGACTGGCGGAGGGAAACCAATGAGAACGACCTCCCCGTTTTGCTTTTTTTGGGGGTTGGTTTTTTACTTGTTTAGCTTCTTTTTTCTTGGGGGGGTGGTCAAGAATTGCAGTGAATGGCTTTGTTTGCCCAATCTCGGTTGCTTTCTGCCCCCCCGCGAAAAGTTTAAAGCTTTCAGTGGTTTCATGGAAAACCCACTGGTTGGCAAAAAAGTTAAAGTCCCAACATCCAAAATGCAACAACGCAATGAGAACAACCTCTGCCCTCCCCCGAGTCAAGGATTGGGAGAGACAAATAGGGAGAGGACCGGACTCAGTGCGTGAAGTCTGAAATCGAACGCGCTTGACACTTTCTGGCCTCTCCTCTGTTGTAGGCGTTGACCTTGGTCAAAAGAAGCACCCAGGCCCAGGACTAGGTCTCTTGAGCCGAGGACCTGCAAACTTGAAGGGCTCAAGGAGATGCGTGCAAGCCTCTGTACAAGGGACTCCTTCAATGCTCAACCGGTTTCCGTTTGAAATCCTGGACTTTTCAGGGAATGAGACATGACCCCGATTTAAACCATCCAGCTGGCGGCATTGTTTTAGAAGGGACTCCCCAAGTTCCTTCCACTTCTCATTCCCTGCCCATTTCGCCCCAGGATGGCTGGGCCACCAACATCTGAGCCCTGCGCAATGAGCTGATCGAACCTGACCCGGAAGCCCGGGATGCGGCACCTGGCATTCTCCGGCGCCGATCTCGGCGCCGGAGTGGATGTCACCACCGCAGCCAACCGCTTCACAGCCCATGGAGAAAAAAAACCGCCGCCTGAGACACCCCGATTTGTTTTTGTCCTTTTTATTCCACCTGGTGAAACTGCGAATTTAACCCCCCCCCTCACCCCGCACAGAACAGAACAAAACAAACACCCCCTGAAACAGCTGAAAGAGCGGTTTCCCCCCCCCCCCCCCCTCCCCCTCCACCGTTGGATGGCCAACGTCCACACCTCTTTGCCAGGCGTTGAGCCCAGTGGGGCAGGTCACCAAAGCGCATCGCCTGATTGCACGCGCCACACAGGAGCCTCAGCATCAACCGAAAACCGAAAACGAGAACCGGAGGTGGGGGTTTTGCGCATGGCTGTGGCGAAAAGAGATTTTTGCTTCTACCCTTTCTAGGGGTTGATCGAAGCCATGTGGCGGTCACCACCTAAAAGAAGGTCAGACCCATATTCGAACCAACCGGCTTTCAAGCCAACGACGAATGCGGGAGCTGTAAGTGCTAGCGGCCGCTCCGCGCGTCGCAGCAGCCTGGCCTGCGCGTTCGGCTTCAGCGCTCCCCGCAGCACCGTGAGCCCGGGCACCGACGCTGCCGTGTCCACGCGGCCGAAGAACCGCGGCCGACGCGGCCGGCGCAGGCGGGGCTTGTCGCAAGGTGCTGAGAGGAGACCTGAGATGAGATGGGTATGGGTCAAAATGAAATAGCAGGGGACCACAGGTTTTAGTCATTGTTTCCATTTACCAGGGTGCCATTGTGGGTACCTATTTTTGACCCACAGCCAGATGAGCAATGGCGTGACCTGGGTTGTCCGTTTTCGGATTCTTCGAGAAAAGTGAAGACTTGTGAATTGAAGGGACATCCAACCACTAAACACCAAAAAGCTGAAAGCTTAAGGGATGGCTGGGAACCACCATGTCCGGTGGCGCATTCTGCAGGAAACATTGTAAGACACCCACCAGTTCAAGGAGTGAGTACTTTTTGCGCATGTCCGAAGTCGCGCCAGGCTCATGTGACAAGCGTTACATTCAAAGCGATGGAAGGCGTTGCCTTCCAAAACCTGCATCCATCTGCGAATGTTGCTATATTTCAAGAAGCTGATACAAGGGATCTCCAAGTAAAGGACCTTCATGGTGAGCTTAACTCTCCCCCCAGGTGAGCTCGCTATTTTAAAAAATCGGCAGATCCATGGCTGACACTGACTCTTGGCTCTTTCCCCGCTTCCAAGTGGCCCCGCGCGCGCCAGGAAGGAAGCGCCGCTGTCACTTGCTGCTCCCGGGCTCGGAGTATGCGGAGCAAGCGACCGGATCTCATGTAAAGCCGGCAGGCGCGCAGCGCCACGTCGAATCGCCAGTCGCCGCCGCAGCCATCCGTGCCGCGCCCCAAGCTTTTGCAGACCGCCTGCCAAATGGCCGTGGCTCAAAAACATGTACCAAAATGGCACCTTGGTAAATGAGACCAAAGACTAAAACCCGCGTAACCCTAGCTCTTGAATTTTGAGCCACAGCCAAATAATTTGTGAACAGTTGGTCCCAAATTCCCTATATACAACATTTAGGGCATCTCATTTCAGGGTTGTGTCCTTTTGAGGGTACCAACCTCCTCCCCACCCCCATTAGAAAATCGACTTAATCTCCCTCCCCCCGTCGCCCCCGCCGTCGCCCCCAATATAACATCGACCTCAGCACACCTCAGGTTTCTGTTTTGAGAATCCCCGCCTTCGCTTGCCCAAAGCGTCGTGGCGCTTTGGCCACAGCTTGCGCAGTCTGGCGTGCCAGGACTCGGGCAGGCTCCCCCGGCGGCCAGGACGCCTGAGGGTTTTGGGTTGGGATTTTAGCTGGTTTTAGGGTTGATTGGCTGGGTGGCGGGAGGTGAAAGGTTTGGTTGGGGGGGGGGGGGGTTCGGGTTGGGGTGTTGAGTAGTTCAGAGAAGGGCATCCACGCTGAAAGCATGGGTGTGTCTTTTCCTTTAGGGGGGAACCAACTGGAAAACATCCATCTAAACAGACTCGCAGACTTGAAGCTCCTTCTTTCCATATCACTTTCTGCCATCAGAACTCCAGGTAGGTCCTCGGGCTCCCTATTAAAAAAGAAGAACAAACAAAAAACAACAACAACAACAACTCCCGAGCGTCCCTCCCCCCCCCGACCAGGCCTGGGGGCCCTCCCCAAAGACCCGCCGGGCACCGCCGCTTCGGCACTGCGAGATCCTCCGCAGCAGCCGAGGATCCTCCGCGGCCGCGGGGTCCCGGGTGAACCACACGTTCAGCGCCACCCGCATGCCCTGAGTCACCTGAAGAAGGGGGATCCAACACGGAGCACCGATTATTTTTGGGGGCCGCGAAAAATGGAGTGCAACAAGGCAAAGGGGGGGGGGAGGAAAGAACTAAAAGCTTCAGAAGGTCGGGTTTGGACCACTCGCCAATGGGTTCCTGGATGAAATAAGCCCAGGTGATATCCCCGGCCCCTGGGTCCCCTGGAACCCTCCCTGAAAGCTGCAAATCGTTTTCCGCTTTGGGATTCGAATCTCGCGCAAGGAAACTCATCCAAAAGGGTCTACCAAAAGGTGATGTTGCCGGAAAAACAAAGAGACCCAAGACCCAAGACCCAACACTCCAACACCCAAGACCCCAAGACTTTATGGACATTTCAAGGGCACCCCAACGGTTTCTTGGGCATCCCACCCTTTCGCTTTCTTCGCCTCTTTGAGGCCATGCAGCTCCTCGGAGCTGAAGATCACCCCGTGGCCTGCCTGCGGCCTGCGGCCAGAAGTACCATCAAGGAGCGCCCCAGTCACATGGGTCGATCCAGAGCTCGGGCTCCGAACCCGGCCTCTGGGGAATCGGTCCTGGTTAAGACGCCGCTTTCCGTTTTAAAGGGGCCGGGACCCCGGAACGAACCGAACGGAAAGTTGGTGCGAGGGTATCGCCACTTCCCAAACATCAAGTCCAAGGGGAAAGTGGGTCGCTGAAATGGGGCTACCCCCGCGCTCAATACGTGAAACAACATGCGGCTCCCCTCAGCCGTCAGGCCCGGCACATTGCCCTTGACAACACACGAATGGGTTTGTCTTTAGGGAACCCCCTTGTTGTTTTTAAAGGAAAACCAAACGGGAAGAACACCATCTCAGCTCCAAATCCTAAACCATAACACGCCCAAAGGGGTTGTCTCAAGCTGGGGGACCTTAACACTTGCGAAGGAATCCTGTGATCCTACCAGCACCCGACCCAAAGGGGAGTTCCCCCCCCCCCCTTTCTGGGATCCAGTCGCCCGCCTCAGGGTCGGCCCTTCCGCAAAGAAGAAGTCGCCCCCCTGGAAGTCTTCGCCCTGGTCAGTTGTGTTCTCTCAAGCTACCCATGGTCATTTTGCGGCCGAAGGGAATATTGATCAACCCGTGCCTGGGGGATTTTTTTGATATGGCTGTGATGTTTAAAAGTCGGAACCACCTTGACATGATGTCCAGTCAAGAGTCCCCCGAGAAAATTCAAACCAACATGAAGGCTATCCCTCAACATGATGGTTTTGTTTTTGCTTTGTCATGTTTAAATTCTTCAACATGTTCAAGTTGTATTACGTCTTTCAAGCAACGCGCTCCCTTTGCCTTGGGGATCTGGATCGCTACTCCACCATCATACTTGGGGTTCCCGTGCGACACACTACGATTGCCCAAAGGAATACCAGGTGACGCTTGGTCTGTAAATACTTGACCAGTTCTCATTCTTTCTTGAGATGCCGATTGGCAATTGCTCGTAGGAAAACTGAGCAGATTCCAGTAAACAAACCTATTCGCTCCTGTGAAAACCTCGTACCACAAAAGATGTAACCACAAAAAAGTGCGGCCGCACCGCAGGTTTGGCACCATCCCCACCGAGCCTTAGGCTTGTTTTGTTGGTATTGTGGGCTTTTCTCAAGCTGACCCGCCAAGTTGACTGTCTAGAAAAAGCAAAGAGACACCTTGCGGCCATAGACCCAACAGCTGAAAGCTATGGGGTCTGGGGTGGTTTGGGGCAGCTTTCAGGGAGGGTTCTGGGCTGTTGGGGATACCACCTGGCTTATGCAAGCTGGCAACGACGAGCTTTAAGTTTGGAAACTGCACTGGGAGAAAGGAAGCCCGCCATTTTGAGGATAGTGTGTGCTTTTGGAGCAGGAAATGGCACTGGCAAATGGGAGCCTAAAACCAGTGGGATCCGACTATGTTAAACCAAAACTGACCTAAAAAGGACCCTATAATCCCCATTGTGGCACTTAAAATCACCATGAGGTGTGTCTCAAACAAAGAGATGCCCCCTGAGGATTCAATGAACACCTGGGATGGATGAACCCTTATGAAGAAAACCACCTACCTACAGTGCCCGCGAGGATTCCGTCCATCTCACCGGCCAATAGAGAAACATTTCGCTGTACTTGGTCCTCACAGGATTGGCTCACCAAAGCTTGAACTTGTTAAGATTTCAAGCTGACCCTCCTCCCTCAATTTGTTAATCAACCCCCCCGCCCAATCTTTTAATCAACCCCCCCCATCTTGTAATCACCCCCCCCCATCTTTTCATCCCCCTCCTTTTTTCAATCCACCCCCTTTTTCCGGAGACCAACAGCTGACCGCTTTCCCCCCGTTTCGGGGGCTCCGAAGAAAACTCCGCGGGCCTGGGCCCCGAGCCAGCAGACGGCGCTCACGTGGCGCTGCGCCAGGTAGCTGCGGCCGTTGTCCGCGTGCAGGGGCAGGCCGCTGCCCGGGAACCAGGCCACGGTGACGGTGGTCTCGGGCCACAGGAAGTCACCGAAAAGGTCCTCAGTGAAAGGGGGGGGGGGTGGGGGTTTGGGGTTTGGGGGGGGGGACTGATCGTCGATTTTGGGGGTTGGCGTTCCTTTCTCCTAAGCAACCCAAAAGGAAAGAAGCAAAAAACAATAAATCCATACTGCAAGGAACCCACGATGCTATGCCCAAGACGGACAAACCTACTGAGTAGCTTGCAACCTTCAACTTGCAGAATTTCAGGGAATCCAAGTTTTCCAACCACACACCCCGAAAAAAGATCCGCCAACACCCAGGATTTCCCCCGTGCTTCCCATGTGCTTCCCCTCGCACCTAGGAATTCCCCCCCCCCCCCCACCATGTCTTTCATCACTCGGCGGCACCTCCGCGGCGTCCCGTAAGATGTCCCGGGCCCGCAGCAGCGCGGGCCAGGCCCAGCGGGGCGCGCAGAGCAGGGTGCTGGCGCTGCAGCCCGGCCTCCCATCGGACGCGACGACGGGCGGCTTCCCCGCGACCGGTGCGTTTTGGTGACCGGTTTCCGGTGGTTTGGGGAAATGGGTTTGGTGACCAAATCTTGGTTTTCGGTGGGCTTCGTGCGTGAAATGGAAGGATTCCACAAGAAACCCTCTACAAGAACTACTGAACTTGGTTTGGCTTTTTTTGGTGGTTTGGTGAGTGGCTCTTCCCGTTTAGAACCAGAGGTTTGGGCGGCTTCCCCGCTGGTTTGTTGACCGGTGGTGTTCAGTGGTGTGTGTGAAATGGAAGGGTTCCCGATTTACCCTCTACTGTAGCCAGGGCTTCAAATCCCTATTGGTTTGGCAAGACTTGGGGGTTGATCAATATTCCCTTCGGCCCCTAAATGACCATGGGTAACTGTTCCATGTGCGAAATTTCATCTTTTTCCCCAATGGTCATCCTATGTAAAGACTCTTTCGATCAACCCCCACTTGGTGGTTTGGATTGGTGGTTTCACATATTTACCCAAAAGAACCACATGTTCAAACCCAAATCCTCTTGACTTCCCAGCTACATGCGAATTGGCAATACTCGGAATTTGAGAGTTAGTCTTGGCAATACCAAATTAAGCATTGGCAATACTTAACTGTACTTTGAATCTGAGAGTTAGTCTCGGCAATACGAAATTTTTACTTGGTAATACTAAAGTAAATACTGCAAATCTGCGAGTAAGCCGAAGTACTAGCAGTCCGAGTCCTACCCAGATTGAAACCATCTGCTACTCATATAAATAAATAAATATATATCTATATATGTGGCTTCAGGCTCATTCCGGGCCACCATTGCACAGCACCGAAGCAAATCAAAAAGCTGCGGTTCCACAGCACCGACTGCAAACTAGAACCTCACCACCCCTCCCATGTGGATTCCCAAGATCTAAGGCCTTTACCCTTTGAGCTGGGAAGAGTTTGGGTAGGTGAACTGGCCTTTAAAAGCAAAACGCTAAGGCTTTAACCTTGGAATTTCAGCAACCCCCAAAACAGTGTGACACTAGAGAGGACCCCCAAAAAAACAGTCACATTAAAGAGGGTGCCCTTGCGTTTGTGTAGAGAAGTTATCCTAAATTTGATGGTTTGGGGACCACTTCAAAAAATGGAATTCCCAATTTTTGCCCCGAATAGCTTGCCCGATACTTGCCTGGCCAGTTGTTTTTTGCACGGATGTCTTTGTGTTTCCGCTACAGCTTTCCGGCAAACCAACTTTCCACAATAGAGGATCCCAACACAGTCACAGATCGTGAAATAGGGGAAAACACTTTCTACAATAGAGGCTCGAATCTTTGAAGGAGGTCAAACATTTTTTAAAACCAAACAAACAAGCACTGGTCCGAAACAATCCCTAAACCATATATATATATATACACACATGTAACAAGCATGATAATATACGTATAAATAGTTTATGCCCCCCAACCCCCACCCCGCTTTTTTTCGGCCCCTTTCGCCTGTAGCCCGGCACTGCGCACGCCACATGCTGCAGCAGCAGTTCCTTGCAGAGCTCCGGCGGCAGCAACGGCCCCCAGCGACGCTTCTCCATGGCATCCGATGTGCCGTTTCGGTCCAAGCGATGAAGCGGTTCTCCTTTTGCAGGGATCCTTACATTATACACCTGAACATTGCCTTGTAAATGGTGGTTTCCCTTTATTTTGGGAGCCCTGTTTTGGCTTCCTTCCAAAACCATCAAAAGGGGGGGACCCTCAGAAAAACACAGACCCAAATGGGTATGTGACTTAGACCCCCCGCCCTCCAAACACAAAACAAAGAACCTGTTGCAGGGATCTCATCGTCATAATCCAACAACAAAACTAACAAATCACACACTGTTCGGCTTTTTAGACACACTGTCAGACACAGAGATCCTTGCATTGTACACCTGAACATTGCCTTGTAAATGGTGGTTTCCCTTGATTTTGGTGGGAAACGCCATGTTTCAAATTGGCAAAATGTATCTTTTAAGGAGCCTGTTTTGGTTTCCTTTTAGAACCATCAAAAGGGGGGGACCCTCACAAAAACACAGACCCAAATGAGTATGTGACTTGGACCCCCCTCCAAACACAAAACGAAGAACCTTTTGCAGGGATCTCATCGTCATGATCCGCCAACAACAAAACTGACAAATCACACACTGTTCGGCTTTTTAGACACACTGTCAGACACAGAGATCCTTGCATTATACACCTGAACATTGCCTTGTAAATGGTGTTTCCCTTTATTTTGGCGGAAACAGCCATGTATCAAATGGGCAAAATGTATCTCTTAAGTGTTTTGGTTTCCTTTTAGAACCATCAAAAGGGGGGTTCCCTCACAAAAACACAGAATAATCTCTGATTTGGACCCCCCCAAAAAAAACAAAACAAAACAAAAACTGAAAGAAAGGTTGGTTGTCTTTTGGTGGTGTGAGTTGCAATGAGGGATCCTTCGGTGGACAGCACTTACACTGGGATTTATGAGCACCAACCATGTTTGAGAGGGATCCCTAGTACATAATTCCAAGATTGGAACAAACTTTAGACACCTTACAGGTGTGTGTGTGTGCGTCTGTGTCAAAATACTTAGAAAGGCTGTCGTTTTGAGGCACCCAAGTCTTTAGGTGGGTTTAAAGGGAACTAAAAGGGAAGCTCGATATTTTTTGGGTCCCCCGCTGATTTGACACCGTGCGCATCCAAATGCTCCAACCAGAGACAGAGTAGATCCTAATAGCTGGTCTGCAAAAGGGGTTGGGTGTGGAGAGCTGTAATGATCGCTGGCCCCATGTTTCTGACGTCGTGCTGCATTCTAGCTGAAGCTGCGCCGTCTTGCCATGTCGGACACGCTGAATCGGTCGTTTCAACCCGAGCCTGATGAGGCTGTCTTAAACTGACAGCAGCGCAAACTGGCACAGTGCGCGAAATTGTTTTGAAGCAGTTGCAGGCTTGCCAGGCCGGTTCAGAAAGAAGCAGTGCATCCAGCTTGACATTTGGCCGTGGGTCAAAACCCCGTACCCCCAGTGAACATCCCAATCCCCACTAAAATAGACTAAAATGGGTGGTGCATCCACCCAAAAATGGTACCATCGGTTTTGACCCACGGTCATTTCTGAGTTGGCCGCAGGTTCAAACTCGGTTGCTTTTTGCTCCCCTGCTAAAAGATTAACGTTTAGTGGTTCAATGGAAAACCCATCAGTTGGCAAAAAGTTAAAGTCCTAACATCCAAGCAACGTGCACCAAAGCAAAGGTGGGTGTGGCTGAAAATCAGGCAGCTCGGGCAAAACCGCAGGTTTTGGTCCTTGGCTCCGTCTGCCAAGGCGCTATTTGGGTCTCCGTTTATTTGAGCACCAAAGGCCTCAGATTTTGCTGGGAGGGTTCCCCCGCGAAAGGTTTTGGCCTCTGATCAACCCAAACCCCGCCCGCCCCGTTTCGCCCCTAGTCGGTCCGGAGCTTTCGCCTGGCGCGCCGAAAGGATTGGATCTTGCCACTCTGGGAGACTGGGAGAGGGGTCTGGAAACAAAATACGAGGGTGACACGACAGGCGGAGGCCTTTTGTGGCCTGTGGTGTATTTCTGTGGGTTTGTCCGTCTGTTTGGCCGTTTCCCTGAGACATAGGATACGCTGAACAGTCACTTGCTCAAAACCTGGCATTCAAATCGTCTATCCAAATCCAAGGACACCCTTTTTCTAGACCCTTTTTCAAAAAAGTTGGTAAAAGGGCACTACTGAGGGACCTAGGCTCCTTACCAACCTTCACACACCCGAGGTTTGATGGTGGCATGGGTCAAAGGGAATCCAAACTACCTGGACGCCCAAGGCAAACAACTTCACGCCCGGCATTGGATGAGGGCGCGGGCGAAAAAAGCTGGAGCACACGCCGAGCCTTTGTGGGGAAAGCCCTTTCTTGGCACAAAGCAAAACCCCTTTGTAGGGTTCTGAAAGGGCAATGTTTCTTTTCGACCACCTGGTCGAGACGTGTCTGGTGCAGGGAAAACATTTGCCATCCAATGCTCCCTTCTCAGATAGCGAAACCAGCCCTTCTATCCAGACGCAGTGGTCCACCTATTAGCCTGTGCCCGCCGTCTTCTCGACGATTTTGAGATAGCTGTCAAAGGCTTTGGGCGCTGGCAAACACGAACAAATCGTCTCACCGCTGAAGCGGCGATCGATCCCCCCATTGGATAGGCAGGGATTGAGAAATGGAATGACCCCGATTTAAACCATCCAACTTGTGGTGTCCTTTAAGGGGACCTCCAGGTTCATTCCCTCATTCCCTACTTATCGCACCAGCAAGACGAGTTGGATGCTAGTTGGTGGCATTTGCAAGGGAACCCAACATGACACCAACCATTTCGAGGGATCTCTGTTTTTGACACAGGGTGATCCTATTGACATATTTCGGACTTGTTTGGACTCTGCCCCCACCTGGAAAAAACAAAAATATGTCCAGTAGTGACAGATTCCCTTTAAAACCAACAGGGGAAAAACAAAACCTTAAGCAAGTGGAAGAATCCAGAAGCCTTGGGCATCGCCAGTCTGTCTCGAAAAAGTCTCCGGCAGGCTCACCCCAAGGCGCTCGCAGCCGATGTTCTCCTCTCGGCAGCCTGTGCACCAGAAACAGGGGAGGTTGCTGAGTACTTGTCAGCTGAAAATCAGATGGCTGTGGGTCAAACAAATCGTACCCAAAATGAAACCCTGGTAAATGGAAAGGACTAAAACCTGCGGTCCATATCCTGGTGGTTTCATTTTGACCCATACGCATATGAGACCCCAAGAATGGCAACCCATTCCGAAACCAAGGGAAACAGGGACCCTGTTGGACCCTGTCGCGAGCGAGCACAGAAACAGTTGTGACATGGTCTTTTGGATGTTATGTTTGTCCCAGGTGATTTGACAGACGTCACCCTGTCCAGCTCTCCCTGCTGGTTTCATGAGCCGCCGACACCACTCGCGCTTCTCGTAGGACCATTCAACCTGGAAAGTGATGCGAATCGCTCTAGACGGGACTGGGTGTGACGAGGGCCTCCTTTTTTTGGGGGGGTATCCAAGCCAAAGGAAAAACTGTGAGAAGGCCCCCCTCTAAAACACATATATCCGCCGACATTTCTCGGCGTGTCGGACACCTAAGAGAGGATAGAGGATAACCCCCCCCCCTAACCCCCCCCCACCCGACGTCTGATACGTAGCCCCCCCCCCAAGGACCGCGCGGCAATTTGATGACGTTCCACTAAACGTAGTCTTCGGGGACCCGGTGTCGCAAAACAGGGGTCCCAGGCTCGATTCCCCCTGCCGGCTTTTTTGCTGGCTTGGGCTTCCTGCATCCTTTTGCCGAAAATCTGGAAAAACTCTGTGTTTTTGGACATCATCTTTGCGAAAACGCTGGAAAAACAGTGTTTTTTGCGGGAAATACTGGGGAGCAAAGGGGAAGTGCAAGGATACATACATACATACAGACATACATACAGACAGACATACAGACATACATACATACATTACATTACACAACATCACATTACATTACTTTAAATTACATCACATTACATTACATTACATTACATTACATTACATTACATTACATTACATTACATTACATACATACATTACATACATACATACATACATTACATTACATTACATTGCATACATGCATACATGCATTACATTATGCAGGCATGCATACATACCTACCTACCTACCTACCTACCATACATACATACATACATTACATTACATTACATTACATTACATTACATTACATTACATTACATTACATTACATTACATACATTACATACATTACATTACATACATACATACATACATACATACATACATACATTACATACATACATACATACATACATACATACATTACATACATACATTACATTACATACATACATACATACATACATACATACATACATACATACATACATACATACATACATACATACATACATACATTACATACATACATACATACATTACATTACATTACATTACATACATACATACATACATACATACATACATACATACATTACATACATACATACATACATACATACATACATACATACATACATACATACATACATACATACATACATACATACATACATACATTACATACATACATACATACATACATACATACATACATACATACATACATACATACATACATACATACATACATACATACATACATACATACATACATTACATACATACATACATACATACATTACATACATACATACATACATACATACATACATACATACATACATACATACATACATACATACATACATACATACATACATACATACATACATACATACATACATATACATACACATACATACATACATACATACATACATACATACATACATACATACATACATACGAGAGAGGGAGATTGGGGAGAGAGTGGCTTGGGGGGATGGGGAGGATGGGGAGCGGAGGGAGGGAGAGAGGACGACAGAACACACCAGGGAGACAAGGGAGAGAGGAAGAAGGAGAAAAGGGAGAGGACAATGTCGGCGGACTGAGCCGGAGGCTCTAAAGTATATATATATATATGTATGTCCGTGTGAATATATATATATATATAAATGAATATATATATATATATATATATATATCAACCGGTCTTGAGGGAGCAAAACCAGTCGAATCCGGCATTGGAGCAACATGCCGAAGGATCCCCAAGTGCATGCCGAAGGTACTGATTTCAGGCACACCCTAAACCTTTCCTATTCAGCTGCCCTCTCGCTGGTGGTTTGGCTGGGGTGGTTTCCCATACCCTCTTCTAGAACCAGGGGTTCAAATCTCCACACCCAACTATTTACTACGGCCAGGTCCTCCGGTAGAGAGGTTAGAATAAGGGTACCCTTTTTTAGGTCCTCCAGTAGAGAGGTTAGAATAGGGGTACCCGATTTCTTCCTGTAGTCTATTTTAGAAGGGGAACCCTCCCCAAAAAGAGGTGGTAAAAGGGCACGACTGGGGGACCCAGATTGGTTGATTCAAAGAGCAGTTATGACCTCGAAGGAACCGCCTCGTGTGGCATCAAGCGCCCCACCCCGCCTCGGTCAAGTCATCACAATGCTCCGGTTCCTCCAGTCGACCTGGATCGATTCGAAAGCTGCAACTGAACCTGCAGATCTTTCTGACAAGAAAGACCCTGGCCAGATATTCCGCTGGAAATTAGCCAAAAACCCACCAAAACACATGGGTTTTGTCGGTTTCGGCTAATTTCCTGTAGCACTTGCGGTTGCTGGTTTCTTTGATGTCACAATTCATGGGCTGGAACCCAACGGCGAGCTGGCCATGATTTGTGCGTGTCGGTCCAAGCACAATCTTCAGAGGGGGTCAAGCAAAGAGAAACTGCTGCTGACCAGCCCCTCTCGTCTATTCTGAGGGCACGGTTGAAGCCATGCCTTTAGCCCCAGAGCTTGCTTGATCCCAAGTGTCCAGGCATATCCTGAAATATCCAGAGTCGTCAGGTAGGTGTATCCTGAAATACGAGAGCCCTAACAAGAGGGCTTCTCAGCTTCCCTTTACGCATGGGGACCCTTGGCCCACGCGGACGTTTTGGTTGCTCAACAAATTGACTTGTCCACCTGGTTCTAAAGCAAAATGGGTTGCCTCCATGTCCTCTCTGAATAGACTTTGGTTGCTCACATGGCACGTTGACCTGCATCCAATCCATGTACAACTGAGGAAAAGGGTTCAGCTCTTCGCACATCAAAGTGGGTATGTGTCAAATAGGGGTTGGCTCCCCGGAATGCAAGTGCTCCTTCTGCTTCTTTCTTCAAACCAACCAAAAAGGTGTCCTTAAAACAATTGTGCGCACACACACACATCCAAGTAAAGATTAAAACCACACCTGAGCGCCCTACCATTGACCTTTGGCTCTATGGTCAAACATTGTTTTTGTTTTTTTAGGGGGATGAGCAAATAATCACAAGACCAGGTCTTGTAGAGTTCACTGATTCATCTGGAATGGCCAACAGGGGTTATTCTACCAAAGTCACCCCCTCACGTTGCTTTTTGGGAAACCCCCGTGTGTGACTGTGATACCGAAGCCGTCAAAACAATCGAGCAACCCCAACACTGACGGACAAAGGATTATACACCAGCAGATGAAATCTTAGCACCCATCTGCAAATTTCCCAATAACTCCAAAAGCTGAATGAAGAATTGGATCCCCAAGTGCTACGGAGCTTTATCGTGGCTTTCGCTCGTACCCCCGCGTCGGTGAGCTCGCGTCATAGGCACAACAGTCCATACTCCTGGCCCCCCAATGACCAAGGGTCACTTTTCCAACATGAGTGGGACATACTGTGGATGGACAAACTCCTGCACCACTTGGAACCCATGGGAAACCATTGTTTGTTGGAACTCACACAAAAATCATCCTTCCAGGGTCTCTGAGGTGCTGCGAAATGGATTTCGCAACCACCCACAGTATTTCATCTTTTCGCGGTTTTCCCTGGTCCTCCCATGTCTCACAGACCTTTTGATCCACCAAACGAAACCCTACGGACACCAGTTGCGGGTGCCACCCGGGGCTCCACACAGCCGGTCCCTCGGTAGGTGCAGCACCAGTTGGTCATCTCCTCTGATGCCTGGCAGACTTGAGATGAACTTTCTAGGGGCTGATTCCCTGTCCATTCTTTGTAACCATCCTTCTTTTCAAAAACCAGCTGGGGTTTCAATTGAACCGACCCCAAATGGCTCCAAGAAAAAAGGCTCATTTAAGCTTGTCATTATCTTCCTCCTTTGCTATGTTTTTCAGTAGAGAGGTTAGAATAAGGGTACCCGATGATATTTTTTTTGTGTGTAGTCCTTTTTAATAGGGAAACCCTCCCCCAAAAAAGTTGGTAAAAGGGCACTACTGGGGGACCTAGTAGGGGTTGATTCCATTCTTTGCAATCGTTCTTTTCAAAACCGATCGCTGTTTTCTCTGCGTTTCTGGAGGTTTTCTAGAAAGAAGGATCCCTGGAAAGAATGGGGAAGGTACCCCTAGAAACTTGGCAGCCACAAGATAGGGGGTGAAAGATCACAAGCTACTCTCAGATGGGTGTGGCTCAAAATCAGAATATTTGGGGCAAACTGCAGGTTTTAGTCTTTGTTTCTATTTGCCAAGGTGCCATGTTGGTCTCCATTTATTTGAGCCACAGCCAGATGTGTCTGATTCTGATTCATGTTTAGTCGATCTCAACATATAATCAGCCAAGCAGGGCTCCCTATATTTGCCCCCTGAAATATCCACCTCAACTAGCCCAACGGGTGATGTTTAAAACCGCCGAACAAGCACAGGGAACCCTGTGCAATGGGAAATTACAATTGCGGCTCTTTTTGAGACCAAACAAGTGGGAGGGGTGTGTTAAAAGGAAATGAGAAAACAACCACCATGGTGGGGTTGAACCCAAATGTTGCCAGCGCAGAAGAAGGGAAACCGAGGTGTTTACCATTTGGGTGTGTCGTTTCTTTAGGGTACCTATTTTGAGTTGTTTGTTCAAGGACACCCAAAGGAAACCACCATTTTGGGCGGGCCTCTAAAACAAGAAAGCCCCATGCGTGGCTAGTTCGCGTGCTAGATTTATCAAGCGTCACGAAAGCCGATGGCAATTTCTGGATCATGCATTTGTTCTTCGAGCAGTTCCACGAGCTCCCCTTTTAGCCAGTCTTCTCTCGTAGCCGGCTATGGGGCCCGAGCTCCCCTAAACCCGTGCTTCCACTCACCCCCTGCCCGTTTTGCCAGCTGTTTGGTGGCCTATTCGATCTTTCACCAAAGAAAGACCTCTTTGGCCCAATTGCGCCACTGCCAAATCTTGACATGCACGTCCAAAGAGACGGTTCACCAAGCCAACCATACGTGAGGAATGCTCCACTTGCAGGATTTGAGCCCGGACGGACGAAGAGCAGTGGCTGAGTCGCATCGGGCGCGCGACTTCTTTTTTCACGGTTTTCGGATGGTGAGGAATCCGACAACTAGGATTCCCAAACCCGAGCTTTCAGCCGGAATGATTTGCACTCGGAGAACACCAAGGGTACACTCACAACCGCATTGACACAAGCACACCTTACCGGACTTAACTTACATTTTAGCCTTCAAGACCCCGCTGGCCTCATTACTTTGCCACTCTGAAAGCAGCCTGTAAGTAGGAAGGAAGCAACCCCACTATCCGCCACAAAAACAGTTAAACCAATACACACCCCTAGTGATTGACGTAATCCTACACCAGTTGGAAGAGATGAAACCCTCTGCACGCAGGGATAACGCATCAATCCCACCCGGTGCAGCAATCAAAAGGACCAGCGAACTCCATTTTTGAGGTACCCCTTTGAGCCCGGATTATTGAACATGTCATACCTGTCCTCTTCAATGTCAATATATACATATAGGGGGTGTTCCCTTCCAAAGTGGTCTGCGTGCCCACTAGAAAGGGGACAACACTCCCTGCTGATCAACCCGGGAATTATTACTCCGGGGCTGACGTTGCCCAAATTGGGTGGGAGATGCAAGGTGCCAAGTCAAACATGCGGCGAAGCCGCTTGTCTGTGTGTCGGTGCTTGTGTGTCGGAAAATGCAAAGCAAGCACAACCACTTGCAAGCACGTAGAATGACGCAATGCCGATTCAATCTTGCAACACAAACGTATCTTTGCTCCTGCTCGTACACGCTGCAGAGCGGTGGCACCAACCTGTTCCCTTAATCCAGCCGTGCCAACCAAACCTACCCACTCCAAGCATTGCGGGGCTCTCCCCTCCCCTCCCTCCCCCTCCCCCTCCCCCTCCCCCTCCCCCTCCCCCTCCCCTCCCCCTCCCCTCCCTCCCCTCCCCCTCCTCCCCCTCCCCCTCCCCCTCCCCTCCCCTCCCCTCCCCTCCCCTCCCGGAGTCAACTCCCCACCTCCACGACCCCAGAGGTCTGCAGCTGCTCGCAGTCGTAGCTCTGGTCATCCTTGGAGCAAATGCCCTCCTCGCGGCAGCAGTAGGCCTGGCACTTTCGACGCAAATGTCAGTCGCCGCGATGATTTTCTCGCGTACTCATCCGATTTGGATGACGCACCGTCCAGCCCAGGGTGCCCTTCCTCATGTTTTTCTCTCCCCATCTCCGCAAAAACTCCCTCGAAAAAGAAAAGTCCAGCGATGCCCCGATGCCCAAACTCTCCCCTCTCCTCATTTCCGCAAAAAAGAGAAGAAAAACACCTCCAAAAAAATCACCGGCGATGCCCCTCTTCCTCCCCCTCCCCGCCCAAGGCCTTCCTCTCCTCCTCCCAGGCCACGTAGCCATCCGAGGGGTCGCAGCCCTGCAGGGCCTCGCATCCGATCTGCAGCTCTCGGCAGCACCACCAGCGCTTCTCCGCGCTCCAGGCACCGCGCTGGCCCTTCCGGCAGTGGAACTCCCAGCTCTCCTCAGGGCTGAAAAAGACATGGCTGTGGGTCAAAAATATGGTAACCCTTAAATGGCTTGCCCTGGCAAGTGCAACCAAGGACTATTTTGACCCTGTGATACAAAAAGGGCTTCCCAGAGCCTGTGGTACGGCCCAAGGGCTTCCCAGAGCCTATGGTACCGCAAGGGCTTCCCAGAGCCTGTGATACAAAAAGGGCTTCCCAGAGCCAGAGATACAAAAAGGGCTTCCCAAAGACGAATTGCCCAAGAAAGGGGATGAGACTAGCCCTCCATATGGGGTATATAGATTCCCTTGTCTCACAGTGATTCCAATTCTACCCCGAGTGCCCAACCACAACCCTCTCCTCGTCCTTCGACTCCGGCTCCGAGCCGCAGGCGCCTTAGGGATCGGTCTCAACCCACAAAAAAAAATCGGGGCGCAAGGGTTGATGCTGGCGTGCCGCAGAGCTCCCCGCTCCCCAAGGAAGCCTTTCAAGAGCATGCTGACTGGCTCGCAGACTCGCAGATCCATGCTTGAACTCAATTGTTTGATCTGCCAGGCTATACACAGCTGTTAGCGCCTCTTTGGCCTACCACCAAGAAGATAGCTCCGGTAGCTACAGATTTTGTCCCTTCACGGATGGTTGGGTTTCGCTTCATGTGCGGGGAACATCAATTCGCACACCATGCTGGAGGTGTTTGCCCGGCTTGGTGAGCAGATGAGCAAATGGCAACGAACATTTCTTCAGGCGCATTCCATCTACCAGTGACCTTGACACATGCTCAGTCAAAGTCATGCCCAACTCCTTCACTCTGATGCCACGGAAACAAGCAACTTCAATTCGCACAATCAAAAGCTACAGAGTGCTGGAGGTACGTGGATTGCATACGTCGCTGAGGAACTTGATACATAGATGCCTCTGGAGATCAAGTTGAGAGATCCTTGAAGCCAACGCGCTGGAACAAACCGCTAGGTGTGGCTTCCACGGTCCCACCTTCGGAGCCGAAGCTGGACCGATGGAAGCAGCTTACGTGCCCAGTCTTCGGGTAGAGCCGGCCAAGAAGCAAAACACACACGCGCACGCGGCTCCTCGCGAGCGGCTCGGTATTGGCATGGTGTGGGCCCTCAAAATAAAGAGCCCGACTTAGTTCTGCCCATGTCCATTTTGGCGTTCGTGCCAAACGGGGGCCCATGTCCAGTTTTAGTCGACCAGTCTGTTTGTTTGTTTAGCCCCCGCATCTGCAAACTCAGGTCTGTTGGGGATACGCGGCCTTTACATCCCTTGTGCTTCTTGAATAAAGCTTCCAGTAGGCCAGACTTCGACCCCCTGCAAAATGCCAGGGGAACATGAGGGAAGCGCGCAAGGATGCGAAAAAGGGCCCTTCAAGGCCGGTGAAGCCTTTTTAAGATAAAAATCCCCCCAATTGCATGCAGTGCTGCGCTCTGCAGCAAGGCTCTCAAAAATTTCCGGACCCCACCAGGTGGTTCCCTTTGGGTTTCCCGTCCAAACCGGCTTCCCCTGTCTTTGAGACAGACCCATCCATCCATCCATCCATCCATCCATCCACCCACCCCACCCCACCCCACCCCACCCCACCCCACCCCACCCCACCCCACCCCACCCCACCCCACCCCACCCCACCCCACCCCACCCCACCCCACCCCACCCCACCCCACCCCACACCACACCACACCACACCACACCACACCCACCCACCCACCCACCCACCCACCCACCCACCCATCCACCCACATGGGAGCAGAACAGACCTCCATTTCAGGCGCCATGGATCCCCTCACGCCAGGGAACATACCGCTCTGCTGCCCGCCAGGGAGTCGCAGCGCACCTGGTAGCACGTCTTGGCGAAAAGGTATCAACATCCACAGCTAGGTCCTCCAGTTTTGCGAGGTTAGAATGAGGGTACCCACTTTTTCAAGACGTCTATTTTGGTAGGGGAACCCTCCCCCAACAAAGGGTAAAAGGGCCCGACTGGGGGACCTAGTACATATATGTCGAATCATGTATATATGTATATATAGTCACCCCCCCCATGATCCACACCCAGAATGTGGTGTGCAACAAAAGGGGGGGAGCATATATATATATATGCCGATGCGTACACATGTCATTCACACATATATTATATATATATATATATATATGTATATGTCGTGGTAAGCCTGTGGGCAAGCGCATGCGAATGTGTGTATATATATACACAGATAGATATATGATATTGGCAGAAGTCAATCTAATATATGTGCATGCCTGTGTTGGCATGTGACGTGATGTAGTGCAAATGTATGGGCAAATGAAGTGCAATGCAATGATGTAATGTACTGTAATGTAATGTAATGTCATGTCGTCTAATGGAAGGTAATGTCTTGCAATGCAAGGTAAAGTGTGTTTGTGCGTATGTGTTTGTGTACTTAAGCATATATGTGTGATGTATGTGCACATGTGGTGCGATGTCACGTGGCGTGATGTGAGGTGAGGTACTGTGATGTGATGTGATGAGAGACAATGCAATGTGATAATACGTGCTAGCACACCCCGCTAGCAAATGCTGCATTGAAGATTCTGAGAAAACCCTTTAGTTGTGCATGTGTTTCCAAACTTCAATCTCCAACCTAGGATGTGCTAGCACATGCAAGTGCTGGCACCTCCTGTTAGCCCTAAGGATGCATTGAAGTTTCTCAGAAATATGCCTCCGCGAATCTTCACTCTTCAACCTAGGATGCCATAGCACAGATGTGCTAGCGCGAGCACATCCTGGGTTGACGGTTCTCAGAAAACTGCCTCTGGGAATTTTGCATCTTCAATTTTCAATCCAATGGTGCTAGCACGTGCTGGCGCATCCTGTTAGCCTTAAGGATCTTGACCAACTCAAGATGCAATGCTTGAGGTAGGAAAGGTGGTGCATTTTCCCAGCATCAGTTTGATGAGGAACAAAGTGCCTTCTACATGCCTCTTACCATCATGAATGTGATTCCGTGATTCATCAGCCTGAGTGCTCTGTATTCAAGGGGCCCAGCCCAAAGAAATTGGGAACCAAAAGGCAGTACTAGCCCATCCTGTTGGCACGTCCAACATTGGACATGCATGTTTCAACTCCAGATCAGACCGCTCTTTGTTTTTTGCGCCAACACGAAAGCACAGGAGTCACCAGTGTAAACACGAGGTGCCGCCATTCCTAGGCGATCACCTTCGACTTCCTATAGCTCAGGCAAACTCACCCCTTTGGGGATGATGAATTCAGAGTGACCTTGTAGAATTCGGCGCTTTGGGCTGAAGAGCACTTTCGCCCGCGGATGCCAAAAATTACGGAACTCCTTTCTGCGCATCAAAAGGAGCCCGAACTAAAGCCACTGTCAACTTTTGAGGCACAACCCAAGTTTGACACATGGGTGTGTCTCTTTTTAGGGGACCCCCCGAAATGGTGGTGTTCCATTTGGATTTCCGTTGAGCCAGCCCCAAAAAGGGCAAGCCTCAAAAAAAGACGAGCCACCCACATGTCATTTCAGCATCCTTCCGCATCCTTCAGCATCCTTCCGCATCCTGCGGTTTTACCCTAAACCCCTATACCCTAAACCCTAAACCGTTTTTGTTTTTCCCGCATCCTTCGGCCCTCCGGAGTGCGCCTCCTCACCATCACAGGAGTCTTGAAACGCGGCCAGGCAGGAGAAGCCCTGCTGCTCGCAGTAGTCCAAGCAGGACCTGCCGAAAGGAAGATTTCGGAGGATGCGTGCTTGGGTATGGGTCAAAATTCACCAGCAAACCGCCGCAGGTTTGAGTCCTTGCATCCATTTACCAGGGTCTGAATTTGGGTACTTCTTTTTGACCCACAGCCATTTGGATGTGGTTACACCCAAACCCACCAGGTGGTGGGTGGGCGGGGCGGGGTGGGGTGGGGTGATGTGGGGGACTAAGTACGGCCAAAGCCAGAGCCTGTACTGTTTCACCCAAACAGAGATCCTCTCTGGCAGTTGGCATAGAGCCCGTGGCACGGATGCTCGGCGCTCGGACAAAAAAAAACGGCATCTGAAGGGTGGACCATTTTTTCGGCACGCATTGATCACGGTTTTGTCCCCAAAGCCAAAACCTCAAGGTTTGCTCCTGAGTTTGGAGCCTTCCCATGGCAACAAGTATGCTTCCTCAGGTTCTGTTGCTTCTCAATTTTCCGGAGAGCGGGGGTCACAAGCAGCCGCGCATTTCAGCCTCGAAACCCAAAGGAATCCAACTCACGTCTCCTGCCTGTGCCCCATCTGGCTGACGAGGGCCTGACAGCCGCTTTCCGTAAACCTGGAAGTCCCCTCCCTGTGGCTCCCTCGCAAAGAAATAAGACGAAACCTGTAGCACAACGAGGTTTGTCGTCGATGAATACTACGCTAGACAGTGTGCAGTTGCAATACATCGGCGTGTCTTGTTTGGGGGGATTGGTAAAAAAAGGTACCCTCAAAGAGGGAACGACCCATATCCTCGCCATATTTCACTCATAATTCATGTTGGTTTGCGGTTAAAGCCTGCCTAGACATGTTGGGTAATATGCACTGGTTTCATGGATAGGCTCGACGCAGGAGGTGAGAGCCAAACAAACCGAAATGCATTGGCATGCTTCGAATGACATAAGCCACACACGCACGTGCACCCACACACACACAAACACATGGTCACTTGTGCTACGAACTCCTGCTAACGGATTGATTGCAGGCTCGCTGCACAACTGCACCGTCACAACCATTCGGCCGGAAATGGCTCAGTCGGCAACGGAAGTGAAGTCACAAAAACTGATAGGTCTGCGAAGCATGCTGTGCACATTTACTGCGGGCTAGGCTAGAAAAAGGATCTCCCCGCTCGTGAAGAAGTGGTTCAAGAGCTTTGGCATTCCTTGCACGCAAAGCGTTTGGCATGTCGAGTCCTGATCCTGAGTCCATGTATCGCATCATAATATATATATATATATACACAGTTTATGTATACAATTTATACACACACACACACAAACGTGTTGGGCATGTCGTCTGAAGTGCACCTCTTGCCCTTTCTTTAGGAATCGTCCCTCAATCGTCTCTGCATCGGGCAAGCATCACAAGACGACCTCCGTGCCTCCCCGCCTTTCATCTGCGATCGATAGGCAGTGGAAAACCAAGTTGTTACGGCGAAGCGAACCAAAACAAATCGCCCGAGTGGACGTACCAAACCAAACAAAGGAACCAACATAGAGGTCCCAATGACCGCGGCGAACAAACAAAGGAACCAACATATGGCTGTGGGTCAAAAATCGGTACCCAAAATAGAACCCTGGTAAATGGAACCAAGGACTAAAATCTGCGGGGCTTATTTTGAGCCACACCCATATGTGGACGGGGTGTCTCAAAATGGTGGACCCCCTTTGGTTGGAAGCTGGGCCAAGGCAACTTATCGGCGTCAAAGGGGCGGCCCCCCAACGGGTGTTCTCTTGGTTTGCCAAACAAAAAAAAGCGGCGCTGAGGCCTTGCAGCCGCTGGCTGCGGGGCAGTACCTCTCCACGTCCACCAAGTTGCAGCTTTCCGGCCTGGGATCGTCGACGAGGCAACCGAGCCGAGGGCTTCGCACTCTTTTTGCTCGACGTTTTTGGTCCCTCAACCCATTCCCTGAGGCACTCAGCTGCCAGGACCCAACGAAAGGAAAAAACCATTTGGGGCAGCGAAGAATGGCTCGAAATGGGAACCCTGTCTTCTACCCGGATGCAGCTCTGCCATACCCGCTCAGGGTCCCTTCATTTCCTCTTTGAACATCACAAGAAGCAAGCTTGCAAACTCACTTCAAATTGACCCTGAAGGTGATGCTTAAAAGCCACCAACAGGGGAAATATGAGGATCCCTGCAGCGCGGACTCTGCATCTGAGGAGCTTGTCCAATTTCTGATGGGACTCCTTCTCCTTCGCCTGAGCGCTGGTTAACCCTCCGGGCTTGGAAGACCATGTTACCTTCAGGCGATCAACATGAAAACTCTAAAAATATGCGGTATCTTGCAACCAGTTGCGATCATTTCATACACCAGCGAAAGAAACTAAACCAAAAGAAATGAAAAGAAAGGATCTCACTACCATTGGACAGTTCCTTCTTTTCACTACGAGAAAACCCGCCCACGCGATGCCAGTCCCAACCCTCCCGTGATCTGCTGTTGAGCCAATGGGACCAGCCTATTGAGAGACGGACCCCCTGCCCCACAGGAAACCGGAAACACGAGTTGCCATGCATCATCCCACCCGGTAATGCACGACTCTTGTCATGGAATCATGACTTAAGTTTTGGTTTGGCCATCCGTGGTTGACGCCCTTTTGTGCCCTGTTGTGCCCTTTTGTCGTTGGGTTAGCCATTGACCAGAGACCTGAAGACAACTTATTTTCACCCATCCTTCCTTTAAGCGAAACTCAGAGGCCCTGGAAGCCCTGCAAGACCCAATATGTGGGCAACAAAAAATGGTCCATGCCCTGCATATTGCAAGCGGAGAACAAGGAAAACCAAATCCGCAAAAGTCAGCCGGGTTTTGTGGCGTGTTGCCTTTTCGCTTGGAATGTTTGGGTGTCTCTTAGACTAGGGAAACGCCCAAGAGTAAAGGGTTCCTTGGATGTCCCTTCCAAAATGAAATTCAAACGAGAGACCGAGACCCTGTTGTGAATTTCAAGCCCTAAAAAGGACAAGCTCAAAAGAAGACAGACCGTCGAAATGGTCGGTGGGCAAACATCCTCGTGTAGATGATGTCCACCAAAGGGTCCCCAATGAAAATATACCCCAACGGATCCGACAAGGTCCTCTAACGTAGGACGTCCCCACTATTGACCAACCATAAGTTCATTGTTCCTGCAACTCCATCATTTGGACCAAGCGTGGTCCAACGTTTTGCCATCCTTGCGGGGGTGCATTCTTTGCTCGTACCCTTTTGTTCCTTGCATTTTCAGGGGAAACCCGGAAAAACCACCAGCCACCACCAGCCACCACCAGCCACCACCAGCCACCACCAGCCACCACCAGCCACCACCAGCCACCACCAGCCACCACCAGCCACCACCAGCCACCACCAGCCACCACCAGCCACCACCAGCCACCACCAGCCACCACCAGCCACCACCAGCCACCACCCCATGAAATTCTCGGGGTCCGCAGCGGATTTTGGAAGACCACGGACGTCCCCCGCCTCCGCCGTGGCCAGCTCCGGGCAGTTGGGAGGCCCGGAGAAGGCCCCGTGGCTCGGCCCGTTCACGGCGCGGGAGTCCTGAGATCCCCAGAAGTCGGAGGGAGGCCGGCGTCAGTTTTTTGGGGTCGGAAGAAAATCAAGTCCTTCTTTTGGGGGGTCGAAAAGAGGTCGGCGTTCTTGTTTGTTTGTTTGGGTCGGATGGAAATGGGAGAGAAAAAACCCAAGTTGGATGGCTTTCCACTTGCTTTGCCAGCCACGCCGAATCGCGGGAGTTGTCGTAACTCAAAAGGGGGCACCATAGGTCCCCCCAAAGAATGTTTCAAACATCACTTTCTGTACATGTGGAATAATAGATTGGCCTGGTCTTGTGGCGGGATCCACTGACCGATGGGATCTAAACGATAAATATTCTTGTGATTCCCCTGGCCCGCGCGCCAGAAGATTCGGGGTTGTGCATCGAATTTTTGCTTGCTTCCTTGTGCTTCAAGTCCTTTTGTGCTTCGTTGGTCCCTTAACTTTCAGTGGGATATGTCATGAATCTCTCCGAAGTTCCAAAAGGGAAGGCCATGTGCAGGCGCACAGGGAGGTGCGGTAGAGACAAAGCACGTTTTACTGGCCATGGTCCAAGCGGGTGGTCATGGCGCCATCTACAGGAGTCCGTGTTTGGGTGGCACGCTGAATGGGTTTTCAAAAATGGGTTCCTTGCAGGTGCAAGCGATTGGAACACGATCTGTAGACCCGTCAAGACCAAATCCCCGGACTGTGGGCTGTCACTTGAATGACCCATGCCACCAGTAGGCAGTCCCCCGCCCATGGCGCAAGTAGGTGGCCACAATCCCCTTGTGCATAAGTGAGATGATCAAACCCAAGTGGGGGAAATTGTGCCATCTACCGGGACGTTTGCATCAAACTCGGCCGATGATTGAAATGAGACGCCATTGCTTCAAAGAGCACTTTCCGCGCTAATGGGCATGACAAACTAGGTCCTGACACAAATGGGGTGCTCTTTGAGGTTACCCTTTTCAGCGTGGTCAAAAGGACGCCAAAAAGGCAACGGCTATTTTGCCTGTTTAGACGCATACCCAACTCAATGCGGGGAAGTTGCAGGTGACAAGTTGTGACAAGTTGTGACGCGTCTGTGTCTGTGTGTCTGTGTGTCTGTGTGTCTGTGTGTCTGTGTGTCTGTGTGTCTGTGTGTCTGTGTGTCTGTGTGTCTGTGTGTCTGTGTGTCTGTGTGTCTGTGTGTCTGTGTGTCTGTGTGTCTGTGTGTCTGTGTGTCTGTGTGTCTGTGTGTCTGTGTGTCTGTGTGTCTGTGTGTCTGTGTGTCTGTGAGTCTGTGTGCGCCTGTCTCTGTGTGTCTGTGTGTCTGTGAGTCTGTGTGCGCCTGTCTCTGTGTGTCTGTGTGTCTGTGAGTCTGTGTGCGCCTGTCTCTGTGTGTCTGTCTGGCTGTGTCGGTCTCTCTGTCTGTGTGTGTGTTTGTTGTTTCGAGGAGCCCACAAATTGTGGCTTTCCTATTGGTTTCCCTTGTAAACCACAAGGACACACGTACCCCCCCCAAAACAACACACCCTGAAGTGGCCATGGTTCAAAACCAATGGTACCATTTTGGGATAGGTGCACCACCCATTTTGGTCTATTTTAGTGGGGATTGGGATGGGGGTAACCGGGTTTTGACCCATGGCCAAGTGAGCCTTTTATTTGCGCTCCAAGCCCAGTCCTGCAGGTGGCACCCGCCATCGGACCAGTAGGAGAAGTGGCTGCAGCCCTCGACGCTTTTGCAGCGCAGGGCGCACTGCGCGGCGCTCGCCTCGTGGCTACGCGCGTGGCCGTGCATGTCCAGCGGCCTGAAGGTCATTGCGATGCGGAGTCGTTCGCAGGGAGCTCAAGACTCTGATTTGGAGGGCACGCCCAAAAACGAAGTCGTTTCGCACCTGTTTTTTTGACAGTACCAAACGTGTGCCTTAAGAAGACACCTCCCCATGAACCCTAAAAAGGTGTCAAAATGGACACACAGGCCCGCGAAATGGTGCTGTTCAACCCTCAAATTGGCTAAAGGTTGCATGCCTAAGCCGGAGCATTGATAGCTGAATAGAACAAACTAACAATATGCGCCCGCGAATGTGATGTACGGCCAACAAAGGGAGCCCCCCCCCCGAAAGAAGGGGGAAAACGGGAATCCTGAAAAAGGAGCACCCCCTTTTCTTGTCAACTTTACAGTTTGAACCCCTTCCCCCCCAAGAACAGGCGAGCAACGCGGGCTTTTCTTGTTGACTCCTCTTTCCGTCCCACGGAAACATCCTTTTCCACGGATTCCCCCGGATCAAGGCCCCGCCTGAAGGAGAGACCCTCGCGGCAGGCGGAGTCTGTGGAGGTCTTCTGCTCCGTCAAACAGTCCGGGGGCCCGCTGACGGCCCCGGGCTCTGCGCTGAGCTGCGCGTCGTCGTCCTGACGACGCGACGCGCATGAAGGGGGCTACAGGGCGAGTGGCCAAAAAGAAACCACCCGAAGCGGGTGTTCTTGGCCTTCTTTGTTTTGGGGGGGTGTCCTACCAAAGTGCGACATGTTGGTTGTTCTCAAAACAAATAAGCTCAGGTGATATCCCCACCAGCATGCGGTGCTCTTTTTAGTGCTCACATCACCCCACAGCCCTTGCAGAACCTCGTGGAACCCTGGTGGAACCCTGGTGGAACCCTCGTGGAACCCTCGTGGAACCTTACCTCAGGGCCGCCCCAGACCCAAAGCTTGCAGCTGTTGGGGAACACACACACACACACACACACACACACACACACACACACACACACACACACACACACACACACACACACACACACAACTTTGAGGGCGCATGACTTCAGCGCCCATTCGGAAGCCCAGGCGTCCTGCAGGTGGCACCCGCCGTCGGACCAGTAGGAGAAGTGGCTGCACCCGGCCACGCGGGCGCAACGGCGCTGGCAGCTCAGAGCGCTCCGCTCCTTGCTGCGGCGCTGCAGCTTCATGTTCACCGGACGGTAGCTGAGGTCGTTCCTTGCGCTTGGATGGGTGGGATGAGGTGGTTTTGGTGCTGGACGGCGGGTAGAAGGGGGTCCCTAACAAGTTCTGGTGGTCGGGTTTCTCAAGCCCAAGCCACCCTAACTGCACCTGAACGCGCCCAAAAGGGGCCCTTCTCGCGGCTTCCCGTTTCCACCCCAAAAGGTTGCCAAGGGCCTTGCTTGACCATGAGCATTGGCTTTTTAGCCTCCTTTGCGTTCCCTGTAAGATGCAAGGCTCCCGGTAGGTCGTTACCCGAAACTCGTGATGCCACTCCAGGGATGCCCCCAAAGGGCACAAAGCTTAGGCCCAGGGTTTGTGAGATTTCTTACAAGAGGAAGCTGTCGCTCCTGGAGAGGGGTGGTAGGGGAGGGAATGTTGACCACGCAACAGGGCTGTAGCAATGGTTATAACCGCGGGCTGGGGTTTGTCCCCAAATCTCCCCCTACCAAAAAAAAGCTCAATGAACGTTGGTCCACAACGTCACTCAAAAAGAGGCATTGCCTGCCGGACAGGGGTGCGTGGGGCGGGCTGAGTGGGCCGGTTGCTGTTTGCCGGAGGTTTCTTTGGGTTTGGCGGGCAATCTATTTACCCTTGGTGGGTTTCCTGTTTCGTTTGCTTGGTGGCTTCCTTCATTTGGAGTGCACCAGGAGACCGTGCAGAAGGACCTCGGTCATCTCAGTCCGCTGTACCCTGCTAGGTTTTGAGGGGCAATGCGAGGTCATGTGACCCCAGGCGCCAATTGGCTGACCGGAAAATAGGGGACCGCCCCCCCCCCAAAAAAAAAGAAGACATAATAAAAAATAAATGGAAAAATCGAAAAATCAATAAACAAATAAACACATAAACAAATAAACAAATAAATCAACAATTAATTGGTGGTTTCCGTGTTGGTTTCCCTTGAAACCAACCCCTCAAACAGAGTACCCACAAAAAAAGACAGACCTAACTTGCAAACATAAGATGTTTGTAACTTTAAACCATGGAATGGCAGGCATCCCGGTTCTCTCGGAATTCATCCGTAAGAAGGGACACCCCCTCATCAAGCAGGCTCTCATGAATCTGGATATCACTTGGTGGTGGGGATGAACCCCCCCAGTCATCTAAGCCACCACCATTGGAGAATGGAGAGCTCTCACCCTTTAAGCCCAAGCAATCTCAGATCTGACATACCACGCTCACTTCACTTGACCATATGTCTTTAATAACCCCGGCTGGCTGAATGGGGATGGTGTGTTGCTGTTGAAAATGGAGTGGCCAATGCGATGGATTGCGTGACCGAACCGCAAGAGTTTGGAGCCCAAAGAAACCACATGAGGGTATGACATGCAAAAGGAAACAACTAGGGTTTCATGGAAGCAACCAACAAAGGAGTCCGCCAATATATGGCTGCCTTTCCTTATGGGAGCCCCAACATTTTTTGGGGGTACCTTTGAGTTCCCTTTGGTTTCCCCTTGGTTTCCCTTTGGTTTGCCCTTGGTTTCCCCTCAAATAAAGACACACCCAAATCTTCATCTGTTGGTTCGCAGCAGATTGCCGGTGACTCTTGAAGCTGGGCTGGCGATGGCATCAACAAAAATCACAAACACTTTGCTTCTGCACCCCCCAGTGGGAGCCGCAGTGAAAGCCGCAGTGAGAGCCGCACTGGATGCTTCCTAGTTCAAAGGTTTGTTGCGCAAAACGTCTCTACGCGGGAGGTGTTCGGGCTTTCTTGCCTGTGTGTCGATAAAAGCTAGGCAATATGAATCCTCTTTTGGGTTAGAGCAAGAGGATGTCTGCTTCCCTCTAATTGGTGCTTTGAACATCAGGGGGGTGGCGTCCCAGTTGTCCTCTACAAGGGGTTCAAATCCAAATCCAACCGCCAATCCAAGTCACTAAGGGTTGCCTGAAGGTGGGTTGTATGAAAGAAGCCGAACCTTCAACCCTTCATGGCTGGAAGGACAGAACATCCAGCATACGATGCGCATCTCGAGGCGTCTCTCAACCCAACAAACTGCGCCAACAGCTGAGAACAGAACAGCCCTCGGTCAAACCTGGGCAGTCCTACTGTGGATGGTTGCGAAATCCATTTCGCACCACCCAAGAAACCCTGGAATGGTCTGATTCCCTGTAAATACCAACCAACAAACAGTGGTTCTCATGGTTTCTTAGGTGGTGCGAAATGGATTTCGTCCATCCACAGTAGGTAAACAGTCTGAACGAAGACCGCAGGGAGAAGCTCGAGCAAACCGTGCCGAGGCTCTGGAAGCAATCCCCCGGATGCGACACTGGCACGCACTCGCAGATCATGCCCGTCACGTCTCCTGGAGCATGGCGGGCCAAGACTTGTTGGCTTGGGGTGCCTGTCTGCGTTGGCAAATGCTAGGGAGAAAGAACTGCCAAAACGCTGGATGACACGATGAGGGACAGGGGGAGCATCAGAAAATGTCCGGAAAGTGGGCATGTCCCACAAACGCTGCCTTGAAATTGGAAAGGCTTGAACACTTGTTCGATTGAGATTTCCTTCCAATTGGCATGCCCGTATTTGAAACAGGAACTGAACAGTTTTTGCAATTGTCCTACAAAGGTGCTGTTCTTTCTGGGGTCAACTAGTTTCCGCCAAAATCAGGACTTGCGCTCGCCTTGCGCTACTGTTGCACCAAAAACCGGCCGAGTCAAAAGCAACTGCCTCTCTGGAAAGGCGCACACGGTGTGTTCCAGCTACGTCTCCTTTGTGTGTCCCTTTCAATTGGTACGCGGGAACAAAACATCTGCGCTCTGCACTTCACAACGTGTCAGGGACTTCCCTGAGGTAAATTTGCTGAGACCAAACATCTACATGGGTGGGGAACCTTCTTTTGGTTGGCCATAAAAGGGAAACCAAATGGACGCCACTTTTTTGGGGGGAAAGACGTCAAAACGGCAATCCCTCGTGGAGCGAGCAGAGCGGCATCTTTGCTTTCGGAAAGATCCAAAGCACGGCCCTACCTACTCCAAATTCACTGGCTCGATCAATCGCTGGTGAAACGACCTGCAACTTTGGAAGACTATATGCTCTCGCTCCTCCCGCGCTTTCTTGCGCGATCAACAACAAATTGCAAGGCTTTTACGACTTCTAAACAGCTCCTGTCCCCTCTCTCGCTCTCTGTCTCTTCTCTCTCTCTCTTCTCGCTCTCGTACGAATGCTCATGTGGGAGGTTTTTGCAGCTCCCATGGTCAAAGCTCTCTGTGTCCGTCATGTTCATGATTCCGCTAGTACGAACCCTCACGATTATTGGCTGAATCCCTGCTTAAATTGGCCATCCCTCAACCTCAATTTTGGGTGTGTTTAGCACATATTGGTGCGAGTGTGTTTCTTGGGCTTCTAAGGGGGCTACTTTCTCCCACCAAAAGTCGTCTAAGTGGTAGCTTAACTGGAAACAACCCCAGTTGACTGTGATTTCTTCTGGACACAGGCAAGCTCATGCGCCCAATTGGCTGTGAAGTTTCCTGGGGGACCCTTAGACATGAACATTTGGTGGGGATTCGTGTCCACCAACCACTTTGTCTCACTTCCTGAGTGGATGTGTCAAAAAGTCCCAACTTCTTGTTTACCACACAAATGGTCCCTTCCCACAAAGTGCTTTTAAAGTCCGTGAGCTCAGGGCATGAGTCATCTCGGTACTTCCCCATCGCCCAAAGTTGGAGTCTTGAAATTAGCCAAAGATGCTACACGAGGCTGGGGATTCATGTCCGCCCACTTTGGAGCTGGGGAACCCGTTATATATATATATAAAATAGACACCTCCCCCCAACAGAAAACCCACAGAAACCCCCCCCCCTCCCCCGCAAAAAAAAAAAAAACACCTCCCCCCTCCGAAGAGGAAAAGAAAAAAAAAAGAGGCAAGGACAAAAAGGACAGCGACCGCCTCTCCGCGCGCGTCGCTTTTCCGTCGCCTGAGTGCTCGCAGGGCAAAAGCCTCTGCTGGCGGCAGCCGCTGCCCTCCCAGGCTCTCAGGCACCGGTCCCCGCGCTGCTTGCCTCGGGCCCCGCGCGTTTCCGGCGGAGCCGGCGGGGTCGGTGGGCGCGCAACGGGCGGCGGGCGTTTTTCTCGGGCGACGGGATGGGGATGGGAACAGAAGTTTGATCCAGATGGGGTAGTTCAGTTCGAAAAGATGAAAGATTCGGGGGGTGGATCTGATCAAAAAACGGTTCATAAAAGGATGAAAGATGTGGGTGGATCAAGAGGTCCGTGAGATACATGGGATGACGATTGGTTGGGAAACCGCTAACAAGATGTGAGATTTCCAACATGGGGTCATTTGGGGGACAGGAATATTGATGAACCCCCAAATGGACGGCGGAACCTAAGACGTGGCGAAGGGCTCTCAGCAAAAATATATCCCTTTGCTTTAATCGTATGGCAACAGAGGGGGGTGGTTTCTGGCCAAAACACTTGGCTTCTCATGGAGGATCCCTTGAAACCGATTTCGGCCATCTCATGTTTCTTGGACCTACCCCACACCTGGGATTTTTCAAAGTAACGCCACCCCAAAAAAGCTGACCAACTCTGCAAGGTGATCTCTGGTCTTACTTCCGGACTGGCAAAACAAACTCGGAAGCTTTTATTTATCAGCTATTTTCTTTTACTAAAGTCCAGGAACTCAGGAAGTTAGGGGGATTTTATCACCAAAATGCTCTTCTTAAACAAACATATACTAAAGTGGAAGTTAGGGGAACACCACCAAAAGTCACCCGGGCTTCCCCCCGGCGTTTCGACCATAGCGGGTGGGTTGCAGAAGTCCGCGCAGGAGCTGGACTCCTTCTTGCTGGGCTGCACCTTGCAGTGATCCTCCGAGCAGCTCGCTCCCTGCCTCGGACGTGCGTCTCGTGTCGAGCCGGTCCGAGCCGACGCCTTTTGCCGGTCGACTTCCGGGCGTCTTGGCCGGAGTCAGGGTTCTGGAAGTCAGTTGGCCCCCTGGTTTTTAGGTGCTTGGCTTCCTGTTTCCCTTGCAAAAAAAAGGCCAAAAGGTCCCTTCTGAGCAAGATTCACCGTTGGGAAAAGAACCACCCCCCCGAGAGTGAGCTAGATGAATTCGGCTGCATTGAAAGGATGGCTTTGGCTTCTTTTTTCAAGCCCGGCATACCATGAAACCGTGTCTCGGCCATTCTGCGTGGCATGCGATTTCTTTTTTTGTTATGGTTTTTTGCAACCCAAAGTCGACCACTTTGGGAATCCAAACGGCAATTTTCGATTTTTCGCACCTTATCCAAATAGTGTCCCGGAGTTCCTGTTGACTTTGGAGACGTTTCTGTTGACACGCAGAAACACCACGGTCTGCCCCTTCCCTGACACCCCGAACTCTCACCGCCGGTTAGTTTCTTCCGGGCAGAAACTATAGCCTTGATGTGAATCGAAGCCGATAGAAAACTGAACCACAAGGCGCACCAAATTTGTTGTAAACCTGACTTTGACTTTCCAGGTAAAGCGCTAATCATGTTGGATTGGATAGGAACACCGAAAGTTTGAAAGCAAGCCGGTTGCTCTGCATGATCGAGGTGGACTCCTGTCTGTGGGGCATCATGAAACGGCTTCCAGCCGGTTCCCAAAGGGCGCTTCATCATGCAGATGGTCCAAAGGTACCTGTTTCAACAAGGCTTCTGCATTTGTTTTGTCCCCGGACAAATGACAGAGCCATCTGCCCCAAATCCCGGGCTTCCGCCCGGTCTCTTTTTTTCGGGTTTCTCTGCGTGGCTTCCGCCCAATCCGCGGCTTTTCAGCACGCCCGATCCTGAGGCCGGCGCTCCGAAGCCTTGCACTGCAAGACCTGCAGGTCGAAGGCATGGACCTGCAGAGACTTCTCCAGGCTCACCTCAAGTGGAAAAACAGAATCCTCTCGCCGGATTTTATGTGTTGGGAAGAACAAACATTTCTCTCTAGCGGCGGACGTTTCAGTTGGGAGTGAACCTCGTTAAACTGGGGCGATGCATCCCACTCTCCGGTGGCTCAACCGGGAAACCAACAAGAAACTCGTCGGTGGTTTGGTTGTTAGATGAGTTGTGTGTGGTTGGTGGACATTCGTCGGATTGATGTCCAACCACGTTGGTCGTTCCGTACTTAAAATCATAGGCTGGTGTGGAATCCGCGTTTTAGGAATGGGCCATTCTTGGGATCCCCCAAAACAGAAGCCGCTTATTAGTGTCTTTTTTTGCGGGGGTCATTCTCAAAACTTCCATGAGAACCAGAAGGAAAGAAATCCCTTTTGGGGATTCACATCGCTAGCAGGTGATTCCCATTCATTTCAACCCATGCTCTTCAAGAAAATCCTGAGGTTCACTCTACCGGCGACTTGAGAGCCGCACAGAGCTGGTCCGCCCTTCAAAAAACCAAGCTCCAGCTGGCTGAAGGCCTGCTGCGACAGGTAGGGATGTCCCCTTCCCGGGAGCTACAGGAAAAACACTGTTTGGGATTCTCTTAAAGCACGCCAAATCAGAAAGGGATGGTTTCTCTTGGGCTCCTTCCATGGCAGCTCACTCCCCGGCGATTGAATCAGCCGAGGTGCGCTGTACTGCTTGGACACCTCGGGAAGGCGATGCCGGGGCAAGCGCCAAAGCGGGGGGAGCCCGAAATCTGCGGCGGCTTTTCCTTTGGTCTCCCCAAAAGCTGCCCTCAAACAAACGCGTGCTCAAGTCAGCGCTATGAACTTCACTGGGCCAAACAAGCTCAGACACACATTATACCCGGCGCCCATGCAAAACTGGAGGGGTCGCCTTTTGCCCCCCTGCTTGCCTTGTTGATCTACGGATCCCAAGACAGGAGCAACGCGAGGGCACAGCCAAGGCACACGGTTGATTCCCCAAGTATTCCGAAGGAATAAGGAACTCCCTCCCACCACATTCTGCATGATTTGTGGTTTGGTGACTCGCACTATTTGGGGAATCAGTCTCGTACGGTCGACAACTTTGCTACTCGGCCACACAGTAAAACCTTCTGGAAGACTCGCCCACTTGGGAAGGGCTTCCTTGATGAGCCTAGCCATCGCAGTTGAATACAACACACCCGAATTTTATGAATGAGGAGCGTGAGAGCATGTTGCAAAGTGGTTGACTCTTAACGCAAGCTGCAGATGTGTTCCCCGCCTTAGTTCATGCAAATCTCGATTTGCCTGATCATCCTGCTTCCAAAGGCAATCAATGCATGTTTCCGCATGTTTTCGTCTACTGAGTCTGGTGCGAGGTGCGAATCAAGTCACCAAGGCTTAGGGACCCCACCATCAGTTAGCATGATGCTGGACAAGAAGAAATGCTAAAGTCTCCGTTTCCCAGTTGATTGCCAAAAAACTCACTCATGTAGGTGGCCATGTGGACGACTCCCGAAACAGACACCTCAGGCAAGCCCCTCCCCTTTTGCAGCGGTTCTTCTGTGGATTCACCTGTTGTGACAGTGGGGAGAATCCCAAACCGGCTCGGTTGTTCATTGTGTGGTAAAGTGACAATCCATGTCCTGCTCATTTGCTCAGGAAGCTTCTTGAAAAAGAGGGCTGCATCGTGTCCTTTTTTAAGGAATAGGACGCGGTTTTCGGTTGTCCTTTTGGTTTCCCTTAAAACAAAGAGAACAAAGGGGGTGCCTCAAAGAAACGGACAGCCCCAAATGATTTTGATTGGTTGTCTCATTTTCGGGATCCTTCACACGGCCCCGGCAGTCACTTTGCGGGTTCGCAGGGACTGATAAACCAACACTATCAAAGACTCCCCGACAAATGGGTGTGTCTTGTTTTAGGAATCGGACCATCACCCTCCCGCTCCCCCCCCCCCCTCCCCACTAAAAAACAAAATCCCCCACCCCCCCACCCGCTCTCCAAAAACAAAAACAACGGCAAAACAAAATCATAATAAACGGTGGTGTCCGGTGGTCCTTTCGGTTCCCTCTGCAAACAATTGGGTCCATCCATCCAATTCTTCCGAGTCGCTGGGTCGCAGCGCAGCAGCGCGCCTTTGCGGTGTGCGAAGGCACCGTCCGTGAGCTCCACCTGACGATGGGGAAAGCACCTGGGTGTTTGTAGATGCCCAGCGGATTTCCATGGGCAAAAAAGAAACGGCATCCCTTTTTTGGTTGACTTTCAAGGGGAATCCTTCCGAAAAAAAGTGGAAAAAAAGGGCGCCACTGGGCAACTGGGTCTCAAAATAGGGATTTAGACCCCACACAAAATGGCCCTGCATGTCTCTAAATAGGGATGTTTGGACCCCAATGTCTGGTGGGTGTCCTTTTGCCCTTCAAACCAACCCAAAAAGGTTTTAAATCTGACCCACGCGCCCACCCACCCACCCAACCACCCAGCCACCCAGCCACCCAGCCACCCAGCCACCCAGCCACCCAGCCACCCAGCCACCCAGCCACCCAGCCACCCAGCCACCCAGCCACCCAGCCACCCAGCCACCCAGCCACCCAGCCACCCAGCCACCCAGCCACCCAGCCACCCAGCCACCCACCCACCCACCCACCCACCCACCCACGCACACCCTTGCACTTCTTGTTGAACAACCTTCGGGCCTCCCCTTAAAGAAAATCCCGGCTGATTCTTCAAACCTCATCCCCCTGCCGCATTCGCGCCTCATCCCCCTGCCGCAGCTCCTCACAAGGCACCGACCGCCTCAGCGGTCAGGCGGGCGGGCGCGGGAACTCGACATCTGGAGATTGGCCCCCCGTTGGTTCCCAGGGGATCCGTTTACCTGTCTATTTTAGTAGGGATCCCCCCCAAAAAAAAACAAAAAGGAGTAGGTAACCAACAGAACCACTCGAAGATCCATTTATTTGTATAGGAAACCAACAGAACCAGCGGATATGAAAAAAAGGAGAATAGCTGGGTGCTGGGATCCACTGGGATTGGTTTTCAAGGGAAGCCCAAAGAAAGCCGTTGCCATTCTTGGTCTTTGGGGGGGTCCAAATCCCTATGAGACAAAGCCAAGTTGAAGTTGCCCTCCAATAACCAAAATGTCAACCGCGGAAGAATCAACCCCATGGATTTTGTTCGGGTGCTTTCCAAAAAAGTGCAGAGTTGCATCTAAAATCGGAGGCCACCCCTGTTCATCAACCAAGGGTTGATCAGGATTCACAGGGTTCCTGAAGACATATTCTTTGGATTCCCTGTTTGTGGGGAGGTCCCTTCTTTTCTTCTGCTTTTGGCTCAGCGTGACATCGATGTTGCCCTTCCGGCATTCGGAAAAGCCTTCACGTGCATTTCCAATTTGTTGTCATGCTTCCCATGACTCCGGGTTTGGCCTAGGGCTTCACGGGTCTCCTCTTGCCAAGTTGCATGTGAAAACAGGGTTCCGCCTATGTCCAACCTTCAAACCTCACCCCCAAAGATGTTTTACCCTTCAACCCTAGAAGCTAATCCTAGCCACAAAAAGGGGGTCTCCTATAGGATCGGATCGGATCGGCCGTGAAATTGGGATCCATGTTATCAGGTCCGAGCTTTCGGGTCAGACGAATCCTCAAAGAAGTTTTGGTCTCCCCGGGGAAGTTCGGGGCCGTCTAGAAACGCCCTTGAAGGGTTTTGGTGTCATACGGAAGGAATGTGATCTACCAGAAAAGGACCATCGCCCTTGAGAACTGAGAATAAACCAACCAACAACTTCCGGCTTTCTTGAAATTGGCAAAAACTAAAGGGAAAAAACAACAAAAACGTGCAGACACTGGCTGGCACGCATGCCCTTTTTGCTTGCGCCATTGTTGCGCACCAATGCTTGAGCTGTTAGCTCCCCATGTTCGACACACAAACTACTGCAAGTCTGAAACCGGACATGAGGAATCCGCCAGCCATGAAACCAGAAGGCCATTTGCCCCAACTTAGGAAGCCAAATTTGTCGAGCCATTCTGCATTCGCAACAGGATTTGACGAAAACTGAACGACATACAAGCAGTTCGACCCCTAACGATTGTCTTGGAGAATCACAGTGATCTGGCTGTGTCGTGTAAGTCTCAAACGTCGGAACCCCTTTGATTGTTTTCTCGGGGGGGGGAAAAAGAGAAGATCCAAGTTGGAACCCCTAAGTGAATCAAATGTCCACACTGCTGTCCACGTCCAAGCTGCGATTTGCCCTTGCCTTCCACCTTCCGAAAGAGCGGCGCATGCAAGGTGACCACCGCGGGCACTTGCACCTGACAAAGCCCCCAGGCGGAGACGTGAAGATGAATCCAAAGGAACGGTCGAAATAGCGACATGGTGGACTTGTTTCTTTTTGGTTTCGTCCCGACCTGCTCCCCAAATCCAGGCAAACCTGGAGAAGTTGTGTTTTGACCGTTCTCCTCAGACTCAAATGGCCATGGGTCAAAATCTCGAGGTCAAAATCTCGTACCCCCTCAATCCCCACTAAAATAGGTTCTAAAATGGGTGGTGAATTCACCTACCAATCAAAATGGTGCCATTTGTTTTGACCCACATGGCTGCGGCTCAAAAAAAACGGAACTCCAACATGGGTTGCCCGAAGTGGAAACATGGAATTCCAAAACCTGCGGTTAAAAGTTTGCCCCTCCGATCGTTTAATTCTGAGCCACACATGGCTGTCGTTTGGTGCCCCACATGACTGTGGCTCAAAAAACCGGAATTCCAAAATGGAACCCTGGTAAGTAAAACCATGGACCAAAACCTGCGGTTTGCCCCTCCGATCGTTGCATTCTGAGCCACACATGGCTGTCGTTTGGTGCCCAAAGGCCCTCTGACCTATGGCCCATTAAAAAAAAAGGAAATCCAACATGGAACCCTGGTGAGTGGAAACATGGAATTCCAAAACCTGCGGTTTGCCCCTCCGATCGTTTAATTCTGAGCCACACCCACATGGCTGTCGTTTGGTGCCAAAGGCCCTCGTTTGCCCCTCCTGCCTAATTTTGTGCCCTGGCCCTCTATGGCCCCCAAAGGTCGCACCTGCACAGCGCCCTCCGCGTCTGGGGCTTTTATCGCCACCCCCGCGCCACCGGAGAGCAGCATCACGTGGGCATCCGCCTGCACCTGGAAGCTGATCCCGTTGGTTTAGGGAACCGAGGCCTTGCCACCCGACATTAAAAAAGGAAAAAAATGAACAAAAGGGGAAAACGGAACAACAAGTAAAACAAAGAAGAAAAAAAAAGAAGAAAACATAACATAAAAAGGAACCAACAAAAAGGAACCATAAAAACAAACAGGAACAAAACTGGCTACTAGGGAAGACGTGAAACAAACACACATCATGTCTTCTTCCCCACTAATTCTGAGCCCGGGGTGGAGGCGGATTGGGAAGGTTCCCCATGTACCCTCTACAAGAACTAGGGCTTCCAATCCCCAAACCGCCGAGACAAACTCCGGCAAGGAGAAAAAGTGCCCCATGCAGAAGGGGTTCTGAAGTGGGAGACATTGCCGTGACACAAGTCGAGATGAAAACAACACATGAGCGGTCTTACTCTTGCCAAGCTCGGCTTTGCCTTTGCGGGCTCGCAAAGTCTACCTTAGAGTTCCGTTCTTCCAGGGTTTAGCTTTTGACAAGTGATGATTCTTCAAACGTGCAAGCCCCCTTACCAACGTACAGTGTCCCAGGAGCGAAAACCCTGAGTTGCCTGGTTTAATTACCCAGACTTAGCCTGATTTACGGTGATTTACAAGTATTACCCAGCTTTACCCAGATTTACTCTGCTTTGCCCTCTCTTCGACAACCATGGACGCTGACTCCGGAAGCTTCTGTAAGACTTCCGTTGTTGAAAAGGGCACCCAAGCCAAATTTACCCAGGACAAGCCTGCTTTACCCAGACTTACCCTGCTCTCAAGGCTAACAACTGCGCGTTCCTTTGCTTGGCCCCCGGAGCCGAAGCAACGCGCCCCGGCTCAACCAACGCAAGCGCGCAGGCGCGCGCAGGCGCGCGCGCGCGAGCATGCGCCTCCTGGCCGAGCCGGCTTCTGGCCGCTGGCTGGCACCGACACCGCAGCTGGTGCTCGCTCCTGGCGCGGGCTGGACCCGTGGCCCCGGGGTGCTGAGTTGTTAGGCCAAACGCCTGAAGTAACTGGCGCATTGGCCTAAAACTTCCAGGGGGGTGAAATATGGTGTGGATTGAAGGGTGTGCTGGGGTGTTTTCCATGGTCTGAAGGCAACAGAACCGCCAGTTATCCTCCTAAGATGGGGGCGGTTCCTCATCCCACAAACGCTTGGTGTAGCCCGACTTGCTTTAGCCGAGTCTGAAATGAACGTTTTGGCATCCACAACCATGAGGTCTTGAGCCCTTGGCTGGAAAACAGATGCTACACGAACAGTCCAGCGTTAAATCCCAGCTTCAGAACCGCCTTTTCAAGTGGGAATGACACATGTTTCTGTGCTTTTCTTCTTGCTTTTTATTTAAAAAAAGAGAAAAAAAAAGAATGCTGGGGCCGTGCTGTTGGTGAAGGATCCCCAAGATGGGACTCCCAATCAAGCTTCACCATTGGGCGCGCCTTTTGGTTGCGGGTCCCCTGTTGTTTGTGGCGGGAAACCAACAGTCGACCACCGCAAACCGCCATTGTGGGGGTTCCAAAGCTTTAGCCAGCGATTCCAGCTACCAGTTACAGGCAGCCAAAGCCTTGCCACCTGTTAAAAAGCCAAAAGGAAGATGGCGAAGGGCGACCTCTGAAAGAAAAAAAAAAAACAGTGGCTTGAAACTGGGACCCACTGGGTGAAGAAAAAGCGAGGGAGCCATCCCTCCCTCAGATCGATCTCCGCGTCCCGCGTCGCGTCGCGCCTCAAATTCTGGGGCAGCGCCGCGAGGCACTGCAAAGGCTCCCTGGACCCGCAGGAGTTGGCTTTGGAGCGCCAGGCCTCGCTGGGCAGCTGGGCGGCGAGCAGAAAGAGGTCGAATTCGGGGAGGGGGTTCGGGGTTCGGGTGAGGGTTGGGAAGGGTTGGGGGGTTTTGAAAGGGTTGGGGTTTAAAAGGGTTGGGTTTGAAAGGGTTGGGAGGGAAAGGGATTTTGAGCCAAAAGCCCAGTGCAAGTGGATGTTCAATGCTAAGCTATTAGGATGCATTTGGCTTCCCTTTAAAACCACCCAAAGAAAGGAGTACCCTCAAAAAGCACACGCACCCAAGTATTGTTCGAATTGATCCTTGCTTTGTCTAAAGCTGCTCAGCTTCCAGCTACCATGGACGGATTCTGCGCTTTGGCTCGGAGCCTAGTGCCTTTCCACCAACCTAACCTATCCTCGATTGCTTTTGCTCCCCTGCTAAAAGTTTAACCTTTAGTAGTTTAATGGAAAACCCATTAGTTGGCAAAGAGTTAAAGTCCTAACTTACATCCAAGCAACATGCACCAAAGTATCCCAGGATGCGTTGGAGCGAGCCATCGGCACGCTCCCACTTCATCCCAGACTGCTTTCATAAAAAAAGAGTGCACTCAAAGCTTGGCTGCTGTTGAGACATCTGCAAAGTTGAACTTGGTTGGGGTAAGTTTAGTGGAAAACCCACTAAAGATTTCCCACAAAATGTTGAAGTCTAATCCCAATAGCAGTCAAGAAAGCCTGCTTTCAGAGCCAGTGAAGCATAGGGTCGTGGAGCTTAAATCAGCGCGATAAGGTCTCTCAGGGCTCGAAAGGAATCAGCTCACTGTGACTTGTGGGCCCTCATGGATCCAGTCTGCACAGTCTATTCGATTTGCCTTTGGCATCCCGAGCCCTTTTCAAAGCCATCAATTTGAAGACACGGGTTTTTTCTCATGAGAAATGAGCTGTTTTCTTTAGGTGTCCCACCCCCAAACAGGGTACCACCTCAAAGCCGACCCATCCCTGTTCTTGTGAAATTGTCCGCACCCAATTCCGGGTGACGGTTTTCTTTGGGTTTTCGGAACCCAAGAGCAAATCAAGCATCCGGCCACTGTGGGGGTCCCGCGCAAACCCGCAAAAGAAGACACACCCCCTTCTCACAAGGGAACACCTCCCAGTGCAAAAAAACCCTGCGCCGGACTCGCAACGGGTCCCGGCTCCGCCTGGTGACAGTGCATGCCGTGCGCCTCGCGAAAGCGATCAAGGGAGTACGGGGGCAACCTCATGGGACTTAGTCAAGGGGTTCACTGGTCAGTGTGAACCCAAATACCATCTGGAACTTTTGACTGAACCCTACGAACTGTGAATTTGAACGTGCCGGTATCTGCGCGTGTGTGTGTTCCTTCCAGCTGCCGACTCAGATCCAATAAAGTGACGCTGGTGATGCCGGGGATGCGGGCAACCGACCAACTGGCCGACCAACCAAGCCAGGCAGCCAACCAGCCAGCAAAGCCAGCCAGGAACCAGACGGAAGAAAACACTAACCCTAAGGAGAAAACAAACACCTCATCACAATTCGGCGACATGTTTTTCCACCAACCACTTGGGACAATTTTTCAGGAGGCCATCCTTTTCCGCGTTTCTTACTTTTTTTCACAAGAGAGGGGCCCTGCTAAGGGCCACGGAACGACCGGTGCCCGGTGACAAGCCGGACCTGGTTCTCCCGGCTCGTGCTATGAATCATTCTATGGGGGACCCTTTGGTGAGCGAAGGTCATGGTGGTGGAACAGGAGCCGAAATCTAAGATGCCAAAGTGGACCATCCCAGTGACTACATTATTTTGTTTAAGAGATTCCCTTGGTATCATAGAAACTGGCCTCAATTTCAAAATTGCCCACAAGCATGCCTAAGGTTATTATTGGTGTCTACCAATTTGGCTATCCCCCCCAAAAAAACATTCCCTTGACAATGTGTATTTTAGTAGGGGAACCCTCCCCAAAAAAGAAACGGTAAAAGGGCACCTAGCTGGGGGACCTAGATGTAAGAAAAGTTGGTCGCTCGCTTGCTGCTACCACCTCTCCAGCTCTTTCCTCCCCTCTCGTTCCATCGCTCCCTTCCTGGCAATACTTGTCGCAGCTCAGCGCGGGCTGCGGGATGAGCAGCACTTCGCAGCCGTCCTGGCGCGGTTTTTGCCGTTTTCTCCGGGGGTTTTGGGAGCCCAAGACCTCATTTGAGGCCTTAGGAGGTTAAAGGCCCTCAGATTTGAGGGTCTTGGGCTCCTGGGGTTCAGCAACGGAATGAACAAAAGAGATCCTTGGTCTGGGGTCTGTTTAGGGATAGGTCAAGGCTTGGGCTTGGTTTGGGGGGCTTCGGGTTAGGCTTGGTTTTGGGTTTTGGGAACGAATGCAATGAGCTGAAGGAACTGAACCCATGAATTCTTTCGGGAACGAACCAATGGACCCCTTGGATGCTGTTCAGATCACCCGCAAGCCTCCCCAAACTGAGCAAATGGTCAGTGGACATCTACTCCCTCACAGCCCTCTGTCTCGACCGAACCTTATTTTGGAGAGGTCTGAAAATATGAGCCGGTTTTGGATGGCTTGAGAAATCAAGCGGAAACAACCATGTCTAAGGGCCGTCGATGTTTGCACCCATTCGGGGTGTGGCTGATTGCGATCCTCTCATCCCCAAAAAAATACGACTCCCCTTATGGCTCTGAATGAGTAGCGCGGACTGTGTTGCCAAACATATCTGTCAGGCACTCCAAGCCCGTTCGGCGATTGGTTGCTCGATGAGTCGGACACCATCTCATGGGCTTCATATATTGAATGATACAAGGGCCCGAACACCTGTGAAATGCGTCTAGGTCCTCCAGTAGAGAGGATAACATTCAGGGCATCCTTTTTTCTGTAGTCTATTGTTGTAGAGGAACCCTCCCCCAAAAAAAGGGTAACCTAGGAGTCAGCTGGGTGGTTCCCCAAAATGTGGACCAATGATCCGTTTCCTTTGCGTGTCCGCAGCGCCACTTTTGGCGGCCCCCTCACTGAGTCACACGCCTCTGAGCATGCACGCTCAGCATCGTAGAGTGTGGCCTCGGCGAGCGCAAGCCCTCCCCAAGCTCACATGGAAGCTCCCAGCCCTTTGGAAGACTTGGTTCCATTTACAAAGGCCTGGGAGCGTCCATGCTAGTCTGCAGTGGTTTGCCTGAGAGGTCAAAAGGAGAACCCTTATGGGCATGAATGGCAGACGAGTTCCAAGGGACATTTGTCGCAACAGGGGCACTGTCACTTCGAGTAGCCAACAATCACGGAACCTGACGGGAGGGTTTTGAGGGTGTACAATTCCATGATTGGACAAAGGGTAACATCTCTACTCTTGGTATGGTAGCAAAAAACTTTGTTTTTTGCAGACCCCCAGTAAAAATGAACAGAACCAAAAAACTAAAAAACCAAAAAACATGCCAAGAACAGTGAAGGTAAAGGACCCAATGTCGTTCGTCTTCTGAAGGTCTCCCTGCGGAGGGAACCAGTCATTTGTGTGGGTCACAAAAAAAGACCAGCTTTGACACATTGTCTCAGGAAAAACTCAGTGCCCTGAGGCTTCCCCTTCTCCCCCAAAAAGGATATTCGGCATCCCGTCATGCTTATCATACTTATCACACTTGTCACACTTGTCATGCTTGTCGTACTTATCATACTTAATAACTTATGATGCTATCCTGCTTATCATACTTGTCACAGCCATCATACCCATCGTACCCCTTGTACCCACACCCGTCATACCCATCATATCCATCATACAGCCAAGCCAGTCCCCACACGTCGCTGGTGCTGCTTCGGCCCCGGGCGCATTTGTCCTCCACCTGCTCCGCCTGCAACTCCGCATCTACTGCCTCTCGATCCTTGCACCGAATCGAAGGCCAAGCGATTCGATGTTGTCAACTCTAGAACCTATCTGGTATGGCTCAAAATCAAACAGCTAGGGCAAACCGCAGGTCTTGGCCTTTGGTTCCACTTAATTTGCCAAGGTAACATGTTGGTACATGTTTTTGAGCAGCCAATTAGGTGAAGGTGTTGTCAACTCGAATTTTAATAGGGACCCTTTGGTGGACATCAAAATTCGGTGGGGGGTTGTGCCCACCACTTTTGAGGGGGTTCCCCATTAAAATTCATAGCCAAATATGTGAAGGTTTGTTACAAGTAGGGGTTTTTTGGCATCCCTTTAAAGGCGGCACCAGGCACCAGGTATTTCTGACAACACCATGTTGCACCCTAAACCCTAAAACCCAAGATGCAGACTTGACTTGTGTCCTCTTAAGAATGAAGGGAATCCCTAAACTGTTTTTTGGGGGGAGCACGGGGTTTGAAGCGACCCCCATTTGAAGTGGTACAGAACCAAGCAGAAACCACAAACTCACAAATACACACAAGTGAGGTAACATATTCCCGCATGATTTCCAAAGCGAAATCCAACAAACTTGTGGGTTCGCTGCCTTGAAACACTAAATGTGCCCAATTGTCAGAACACGCCCAACCCTTCACAGCCGGAGAGTGGCCAATTGCAGGTCCGAATGGCTGGCTTCCCAACGGGAGGTTGGGGGAGGGGTTGAATTAGTCCTTGAAACATTGCTTGACCATGTCCTCAAATCTCACAGCAGCCACATGAGTGTGAACTTGAATTGGCGACCCTTTGGCAAACATCACCTTCATGGGATTTATGTCCAGCAATCTTTTTGGAGGACTCTTCTCAGGTTGGTGCAAAGGGAAGCCAAAAGCAACGGCCAGCCCAAAATTGAGCGAGGACCCTCTGGTTGTGCTTGAAGTCCCGTGAAACACCATGTCCATGTCCCCAAATGGCCCATTAGGCCGAACCATCATGTGATACTGTGGACGAAAATCTGCACCGCCAACAAATTCTGGAAGGATGATTAATGTACGTACCAACAGACAATGGCTTCTCCCATGGTTTCAACGTGCGAACGGATTTCGTCCATCCACAGTATGTCTCGTGATTTCCCCCCCCCCCCCCAAGTGTACCTCTTCCAGCAGTCGGCAGTCCATCTCCCCAACCTGGCCGAGCGATGGAGTGCGTGGATATGGCGATGATTGGCGATTTGTGGAGGGAAGTCCTTGGAAGCGGCCCCAATACCATGAAACAAGGACCCGAAGTTGGGCGGCAACCTTGGTTTTCCATGGTTTTGGGAAGGGGCCGCCGTTTTTTTTTTTTTGCATGGTTCTGAAGGGAAACCAACGAATCGAATCGATTCACCAACTCAATGATCACTAGCGCCGCAGGGTGCCGAGATTTGGAGACAAACTCCAAACTCTTTGAGCTTCCCAGCCAGTATATGTTTCACCCCAACCTTGGTCCTTGCAAAGGGCTATAGAAGTTGGGGGCCGTCAGAGCAGGCAAATAGAGCTGGGACCCTTTGTTTTTCGGGTCGCCGCTGGCTCCAAAGTCTGCGCACGCCCCTAAGCTCCAAATTGGAATCAACATGCACCTGGAAAGTTAAAAGACCAGAGGGTGGCCCGAGAAGACGAACTAGATGTACCTAGAAGCAAGAGCTCAAGTCCAGCAATCCATCCAAATCTCAACAGGAAGCTCCAGGATATTATTCCAAGTACCCCCTGTGTTAGAGCCCCCCGTTTACTCATTCCGTGTGGACACTACGCTTGCGAAATTGTTCTGAAATACAAAAGCAAACCATCATATATAGATATATATATATATATGTGGGTGCTTTTGGTTGGCTACAGGGAAACCAAAAGGAAAACCACCATTTTGACGAATCCAAAAACAAACGCCACGCGTACGAACCTTGGCCATAAGCCACGTTTCACGAAGCGAACCCCCGCTCCCTACCCACCTGCACGTGCTTGCCATTGGCGAGCAAGACCTGGCGAAGGCGAAAGCGAGCGGCACGAGAAGAGTCTTGACATGTGCTCAGCTGCAGAGATTTTCTGAACATGAGAACCAGCAAGATGACAAATGCTTCATATAACTATGAAAATGATGCCTCTTAGTTGACACCCCCCCCCCCCCGGCGCCAGATATCAATCAGGGGGTGCCGGTTGAGCAGGCATGCCGTTCTGCCAAGCACCGTCCCCACCGATTTGCCCAATCTCTCGAAGTCGACCGCCGGATTTGCGCCTGAAATCGGCCACTGTTGATGTCTGCAATGCCCCGCAAGCCGTTGTAAGGGCCTGCCACACTCGCACGCTCTGTTATCAATCCCACTCTTCTTTTGGAGCCAGAGCTTCTAAGATAGGCAGGGGTTTGTCTTTTTTGAGGTTAGTTGAAAAGGAAACATAAAGGGAGCCGACCTTTTCGGTCCAGCTTGAGACGCACACACATTCCCCCCATCTTTGGGGTAATTTTCAGCATGTCGCTGTCTCCAGGCAACGCCAAGCAAACGCTTGGTCTTCGGCTCCTTTTGGCTCCCTTGAAAAGGACAGGGTACCCCCAGCCCCACAAAAGCAACACCCAAACTCGAACTCGCATGCGAAACCGGCTGCTTCAGGTGTTTGCCAATCGCCGATCAAATTAATTCCGTGCTGACACCAATTCTTGCACCAAAACCTGGAACAAGTCCATCTGGGTGTGTCTCTGTCGAGGGGTAGGTGTTCCTTTGTCCTTTCCTTCAAAACAATCAGAACGAACAAAAAAAAGGAGCCCTTCGCCCCAGACGATTCTGGGTGTCACCAGTTTTCAAAACCTGGTTCCCTTTCGTTCACCAAAAGCCGCCGAATCGCCTTCGACGATTTCCACCATCGCGCCATCGTGAATTCGCTTGCTCGACGCCTCGCTGGGGTGCACGGCGTCCAAGTGGCTTCGGGCTCTCTCATGGGTTGTCCTGCTTTTCCTGTAAACAACAACTTGCTGGTGCGATAGGTAGGGAATGTGGGACTGAACCCAGGGCTCCCCTTAAAGGAAACCACAAGGGATGGTTTATAAGGGTCATTCTCTCATTCTCTGCTGAGCACCAGCAAAGAGGACCGAGCCTCAAAAAAAGAAACACCCCCAAATGCTGGACATCCTTTTGGACTTGGAACAGACCGCCATTTCGAGAACCCGTTCACTTTTCCTTCATCCAATTTCCCTTTTGAGTCTCTCGCAAGGCTTGCCTTTTGGACTCGTTCTTTGGGGACCAGGGCACCCTTTGTGCAGAAACTTTCCGATATCAGGGCCAAAATAACTAGAATGAGGCCTTGGGGCTTCTTGAACATCACATCTAGTCATATGATGGTAGGGGTAAACCATTAGTACAACTAGTTCGCCCTTGCTTTTCAGCGGTCCGGCATCATTTTGTGTTCACCCAAGGGCTCCTAGTAACTCGTTCGCCACAGAAAGAAAAAAAACGCGGCCCATCAACTCAGTTTTCCTCCTTGTCCACAAATCACTCCCCGCCTCTTCACAAATGTCGCTGACCACATTCTGGCCAGAGAAATAGAAATCCGATCCGTCGGCATCACCTGGCGCGGCTTTTTTTCTGTGGCTTCTGACGCCAGAAGAAAAAAAAAGGGCGGCGAGGCGGGGTGAAGCCAAACAGGGGGGTCCCTCAGTCTCTCCCTTTTTGGACCTCCCAAAGTTCCGATTTCGATTGGGAACCCCAAGAGTTGCAAACATTTTGTTGGAGCTTAGCAGGAAGCTGCGCACTGGGAGAAATCCAGTGACCCCGGGATTTCTGTGCGTGCAACATGTACAAAGGCCGCGTGGTTGGAATGTTGTGCAAGACTTGATACATCTGCCATAGGCGGGAACACGCGAAAATCCACCAGGTGCTAGTTGGCTCTGTGTGTTTCTTGTGGGGAATCCTTGTTGGGAAGGCCACGATTTTGCGGGGTCCCCTATTTCGAAGCACAACCACTTAAATGGGGTCGACGCTAAGCAAAAACTACTGGCACCTGCCTTCGGTGATCACGGAAACCTTGGTACACCGAGCAGAGAAGTCAGCTGAGAAATTCACAAGTCGGGAACCTCTCGCTCTTGGCTTCTTGATGGCTCGGGAACCTGAAATACTGGAAGTTCCTTTTTGGATGGCAAATTGTGAGACTTGCGGGTGTGCCCTTTCTAGGGGGAACCTCTTTTGCGCAATTTTAAGGGAAAGGAACCAATCATTTTGAGGGTCCTCCACTGGTCTGCAGGTTAGCCGCGAAGCGACAGCAGTGGCCTGCGTGTCCGTAAATGCTTCCATTGAATGCTTCAGGGTAAAAAGCCAAGAATCAGCAGCTAGTCTTAGAACTTAATGTTGACCCCATATTAATTAACCAACCAGTGTATTAACATGCGGGTGGGGGCCCCTGCAATAGTGGTCTGATTTCCCAAAACCAGAAAGGGACACCCCCCCCAGTAATAAATTGGTTGGTTGGTTCGTATGGGGGTCAACATTAACAGAGAGTTTGCCGAAGACCATATTCAACAAGAGCAAGCCTGCCGGCTGATGCTATCCCCTACAGGCCGTGAGCGTCGCACCTGCTCGCGGGATCCGAGCATCCCGGCTACGAAGTGATCTACGGAGCGCAGGAGAAATGTCGCCGCTCGTTGCATTTCGGGAATGCCTGAAGGCACGGCCAGCGAAAAAGGCCAGCAACTGGGCAAGCGCCGGGAATGGGGTAAACGGCTAGGGCAAACGGGAACCCTGCAAAGCCTTAACATAAAGAGGAGCCCAGAAACTAGAGCCCTACCACATGTCAGGAAGCTTTTTTTGGGAAGCCCAGATCCCTCACACACACACACACACACACACACCCCTTTAGGCGCTAACAGCGCCCATTTTTGAAGAATCAGACTATGCGTTTGTGTCAAAACTCGAGACTCTGTCTAGTTCCATGTTACAAGGAAACCGACATGAAGAAAACCCGTGAACCGATGTGGGGCTCTGTATACGATGGTATATGACTCTTCATCTGGTCTCGCTCCGCGGGCCATGCAGGATGAAACCTTTAGTCCTGCACGAATAGAATCGCGGCACATGGCCCCTTTGTCCCGCTGGCCGTGGGAAAAAGATGCTGCGGACCTAGCACGGCCAGAAAGATGTTGCCCCGGAAACCTGTGCTCCAAAACCGGAGGGGCGGAGCGCACATAGCTCCCATGAGCTTTTGGGGCGGAAGATCTCCTGTCCCCACCTCGGGGATCTTTGGGCACAAAGCGCTTGAGGTCAGGCGCGGCCTCAAGCACCACCTTGTTTTTGGCCTGGCAGGTCGGACCGTGCATCCGAAGGGTGAGCCCTTTAAAAACATCCAGCCACCCTTTTTCGTAGAACGCGTCCATCAGCGGGCCCTCATGTGCGGAGCCCATGCTAGTATCCCCTGCCCAAAAACTGGGAAACTTGCTGTCTTGGCGCTGAGAACATCTGTATGGAGTCCGTGCCAGAACCCCGCCACATATCGAAACCAATGAACCAAGGTACAGGTATGTTCCCTGTGGAAGCAGAAATGCTCGAACGAGATTCATCCTTAACTAGGCCCGTGTGAACATGTATGCACTGAGCAGCCCGAAAAGTGGCGTGTGTTTACTGTATGTAAGACCCAACGGTGACAACGACGACCACCACAACAGCAATAACAAACTAAATTGTGAACCCCATTGCAAGAATTCAAATCCCAAAACAGGCCGAACGAAAAGGAGCTTCCCCTGGTCATCAAAAAGGGCTGCCCGTTTGCGGTGCTTTTTACTATGGGAAACGCTCCCCAGATTTCCGATCCCCAAAGGCGCCTCCCAAAGGGATAGAAAGGACATGTTGAAGGTTCCAACATGTGGGGGGTGAAAACCCAATAAAGCCCTGGTGAACATCAAAATAGGTGGCACATGGGTGTTCATCCGCCGCAAAATGGCCCGGCATAGGTTGTGACCCATGGCCATGACTTAGTGGTGTCCCTTGGTTTCCCTTCTGAACCTCCAAAAAAGACGCGCCCCTAACCTGCAAACATTTTTCCGTTTGAAGGCCCAAAGGCTGGCCGGGCCCACTAGGCCATGGCCAGAGTGCTCGAAACTGGACGCCAGGTCCTGGGGAGAAGATGAGATGCGGTTGCTGCTTGTTGCTTCGCCCTTGTTCGTAGTTGTTGGTCCGTCTTTTGTTTGTGTCTTGTCTTTTCTGTTGGCTGGTTGGTTGCTTGCTTGCTTGCTTGCTTCCTTGCTTGGTTGCTTGGTTGGTTCGTTGGTTCGTTCCTTGGTTGGTTGGTTGGTGGGTTGGTTGGTTGGTTGGTGGGTGGGTGGGTTGGTTGGTTGGTGCGTTGGTTGGTTGGTGCGTTGGTTCGTTGGTTCGTTGGTTCGTTGGTTGCTTGGTCGCTGGGTTTCTTGCTTGCTCGCTCGTTTGCTTGCTTGCGTCCTTGCCTGGATGCTTGGCTGCCTGGCTGCCTTCTTGCTTGTTT